TGCATAGAGTTGCAGTGCAACATTTTGCTCCACTTCTGGGACTTGTGCACTCCACTTAAATGATGCGTTTAATGCCCCCAAAGACTTTCGCCCACGCAGCTTAGTCCCCCTCCCACTTCTAATTAACATTATCCAAACATCGCTGCGAACTTTGACCCAATTACGCGCAATATAACGCGACATTCACACACACACACACACACACATGCAGAATTCATATTTACGAGTTTGTTGTTGGTCGAAGAGAGATGGAAAATAATAAAACACGCCAAGCGAGAATGAATAAAAGAAACTACAACAACAATGAGCAAAGGCTTTTATTTACTTAATTTTGGGCTGCAGCCGCATTTGAGGAACGCAGGCGCAACGTTCCCACCACAGAACCAGACCAACGCAACGGTTGGTGGGGTGGAGCAGGAGTAGCTCAAGTACAAATATAAACGGCGAAAGAAGAGACGTGAGGAGGGAGAAAGAGGGCGAGACACACACACAAGCACAACAATACTGCAGGCAGGCGCAGTCAATAAAACGCCACTCAACAGAAACATGCGAAACACATTAAAGGCAATACAAAATATCAAGCAGGAAACCACACAAGCACAAGCACAATCACAAAAAATAAACTTCAACAAAAAAAACATGAGACGCAGCCTCGTAAAATTTTTAAATTGAAATTAAGCAACGTAAAATTGCAATTAGGCAGTGCTCAAGTACTCGGCAAACAAATTATATTGTTTCTTTCTCCTCCACCTCTCCTCTTCCCAACTCAATGTCATGAAACAAAACTACTAAATGACAATAAAAAACAAACAAAAAATTTGCTAAGCAAAACGAATAGCTTATACCTAATTATTACGCACATTTTTTATTTGTTTTTAGACAACATTCGAAAACATTAACAAAGAGTCATTGACACAAGAGCATAAAACAACAACACACACACATAAATCGTAGCAAGAGCGAGCTAACAGAATACAACGAACGAAGCGTCGTCGCCAAAGTGTCGTTGTCGTTTTTGTTTTAGTTGCCGCTGTAGTTGTGTATAGTCGTCGCTTGCCCTGCGCTCCTTTCTCTTTCACACAACATAGCAAACATTGCAAATTATTTACCGCAACATTGACGCCTCACCGGCGCCGCTCTTTCTCCCTCTCTCTTTGTGTGGTGTTCGCCCGCTCTCCCAACCTATTCTCTGCTCTACTCTGCTCTGCTCGTGTTATTTCCCATTGTATTTTTAGAGGTTCACTAACTTTAGTGTTGTTATAGATACAATTATATTGCATGTGCGTGTGTGTGTGTAAATGTATGTGTGTGAAGTTTGTTTTGTTGCTGTCTTTGCTGCTCTGCTCTGTGCTCGCTTAATTAAATCTTTAGCCCTGACACTTTTTTCATTGACAAGGCAACCAACTTGCACCCGAAACTCCGACCGGCCAAAAATAGCAAAAGCCAAAACAATAAATGCGATTTAGGTTTACGAGTATATCTTTTGTTGTATGTACATATTAACGCTACGAACGCTTTCGCAAAAAATAATGAAAAAAAAAACTAAATAAATAAATTTCTGCTAGCGCAGCAAGCAAGCGACGCTACACGTTGGGAAAGTCAATGTGCCGTAAGCAGGAAGGGGGCTGTGGTGGGTGGTGGACGATCACGACGACGACCTTGGGAAACGGCGCGTTGATTTTACAATGTTATTGTTAAAGTTGCCAAGTTATGCAGTTTTTAAATGTGTCTGTGTTGTATTCTATGTTGTTGCTGTTGCCGTGCTCGGGTTGCTCATTTAAAGTCATCTTTTTGGCATAAATTAAGCTGCCAATTTATTACTTTCAACTACGCCGTGTGAAATTTTTTTTTTTAGCGACTTCACGCAAATTGAAAAACAGCTGGCTAAGTGCCAAAAGTGGTGGAGCTCTAATGCAGTCCCATTAAATACCTTATGACATCAGTGATCTCATTTGTAAAAGTTGGATTATACAACATAGTACAGCAATTCTGATTTATTAATCATTTTTCAAATCATTACACCACACTGTTATTTTTCATTTCCAGCCACGTTTCCAAAGCATTCGTGCTTTTTTCTACAACCACAATACAATACATACAAAGCTCTCCCACGGGGGACTCCACCTCCGGAGACTACGTGTTCCAGATTCACATGTACAACCAAACCTATATTTTTACATGTGTTCATCAAGCTCTCAATCTACACATAAAAAAGTTTACAATTCTTTGTGAGTCACTCGCAGTGATAGGCAGCACTTTAAAAGCGCAGTAGCAATAAAACGCAAAAAAAACTTAAATCTTATCAAAAAAAAAAACCGGAAGTGCAAAGCACAAAACATGCGAGAAATTAGTTGATAAATCACATGAAAAGAGACAGATGAAGGGAAGGGGGAGTGTCACTCGCTGCATAAATAAATGAAAATCGTATTCAGCGAAGCGAATCATATGAATTCGTAGAAATGTCACAATGTGACGTCACAATCTTCTAATTAATTGACTTAAAAGCCGTTTTAAGCACAAAATTCCCCACTCACTGCATCATATTAACCACTTTATGAATAAGCGTTAAAATGACGACGCGACTAATTTCTGATAAGCTGTTTCTAAAAATGCGCTTGCGTTTGCAACCAGCCAAAGTTGGAGAGAGACAACGAGTGAAAGAAAGAAAGAAAGAGAGAGAGAGAGAGAGAGAGGAAGATAGAGGGGGATTAAAACCGGTTGACTGACGGTCAATAAAAATCAAAATCCAGTAAATGCCTAAGAAATGACACACACAGACTGACAACAGAGCGGAAAACGAACGAGCGAAGCGTAGCCAACAAGTGGACAACAACAACAACGATGAAGAAAAAACGAGAACCTCAACCAATAACAATAACAAAATATCCGTTACTCTTGTAGTGAGTTCTAACGCTGGCTGATTGGCGACAAGTCACAAGTTCCATGCATGCGAAAGAAAGAAAGACACTCGAAAAGCATCTCTGCCTTCTTATTACTCATGCTAATTCCGTACACACACACACACACTCAATCAGGCAGTGAGAGTCCAGTGTTGGACAGTATAATGAACTACTTAATGCCGCAGCAGCAGTGAAACAAGTTGTCGTCGCACAGTGGGCAAAGTTGCTTATGTATTGTATGTATGTATATATATATTTATATATATATATATATGTATTTCAATTGCATTATTGTTGTTGTTGCTTAAGTATTTTTTTTGTTACCACGTGCCACTTGCAGCTTAGCGTGGTAACCCAACACAAATGAGGTCGTCAGTGTTCCGAAGGAGACTCAACAGACGTGGGCCGTCAATATGACTATATTTTTTTTAGCGAATTGGCCGCATTTCTAAGCCGAAAATGGTGTAAAGTGAGCGGAGGACCGTGACGCATGCAAAATTGTAAAATCAGACACTTTATTGACACTTCATTGAACCGAATTGTGAAATAGGCAATCGTAAAGATTAAGTGCGAATACATGTACAATCTTCGGCATGAGACATATCAATAGCTTATCTGGAATTCTTTTGAAAATCAGTGCCTTAAGTAGTGAAAACCTATTAAAGAATTATGTGCTGTTGCTAACCACACTGAAAATTATGTAATATGCTTATTAAAGGTTGCCAACACTGTTTAAAAGCCATCTATTTGCTCGAAAGCTTGAGCTGAAGCTATCAAAACTATCGATGTAACTTTATTTCAAAAGTTCTTCTAAAGCTAACGTGGTGCATCGGCCCTAACCCCCCACAAAGTGCATGCAGCAGCGAGCAAATAACAAAGTGGGGAGTGGGAGGAGAGGAGAACTTGCCGTTGGCCTTCCAAGCACAGCGCATGCCACATCAGAACAGAACTGAACAGAGCAGCGCAGAGTAGAGTGGAGCAACAAATTCTAACGGTAATCCCCACAATGTCTATTTTTGTAGCTGTTGCTGCGCTGCTGCTGTTGCAGCATAGTAATGTTGCTGTTGTATCTTGCAGATACAATTTTAAACTTATAATTTAAATACAAAGTCGTGGCATTGTTTTTTTTTTGTTCAGAACCAAAGCAGCGACAGCGAGAAGCATTTGGTTTAAATCTTTGATGTGATTATTATTATGATGATGATTGTTGTTGTTGTTGCGCTTGTGGTTGTTTGTTTTCGGTTTTGAACTTTTGCCCAGCGGCACAATTCTAAAGCGAGAGGAGCGAAAAAATGTGTTAATGTGTGAGAGGAGAGAAGTTTTTTTTTTGGTGGCAAGAAGATGCTAAAACATCGCGCCCGTCTAGCGGTTCGCAACTAATTAAGAAGGCAGCAGCCCCTCGCAAATGACGCAGCTTGTTTTCGGATACAGAGAGAGAGAGAGAGAGAGAGAGATACACTGAGCTAAAAGATACAGATACATTTAGATATATATCTCAGTGTATATGCAACTCATCTTAGCTGTCTGTGGCAGCAGCCGCAACTGCGACGCATTCAAGCATAAAGTCTAATGATTGCTAATTACAAGACAACAACAACAACTACCAAGAAACGGTCGCCCTGAAACTAAACTGAACGTAAATTGTGAGATCATTGCGCCGTAACCAAATTGCCCGTTTGGGCTTCAATAGAAAGTTGCACATTTGGACACAAAAAAAAAGAAAAAAGTAGATGGACTCCGACATTCAAATGGTCAGACAAATTGTTTTCAATATCTGAGATCTTATGAGCTGGCGTAAAAAAAGCAACCACAACACGGCAACAAATAACTACATATAACGTTTATTGCAATCTCAATCTCAGTTTTGTGTTTATTTCCTGAATGATGTGTTTATTATTTCAAGGCTACCATTGTTGAAATGTGTTGGTTTTGATCATTAATTGGGGGTGTTACCCATATGTAAAACTATGTTATTCATTATACAAAATATCCAAATTAACAAGCTTGTAAACAAGAGTTTAAATACTTCGTTTCCTATGCAAGTTATACAAGTAGAAAATCGATAAAATTTAAATATATAGTTACAGCTGTTTTGCTTACCTTGTAGACCTGGCCGTAGGTGCCATTGCCAACGACCTCGATGAGCTCAAAGATGCCAGCCGGATCCTGTAAGGGACAAGATAAGACAAAAGGTGAACATTAGTTTAGAACAATTGTCAGAGAAGAAAATGCAATAACAATTAAAATAAATAGCGAGGGGAAACGCCCAAGAAAAAATACAAACTAAAAAATCCTTAGCCAGATGCAAAGAGGCAAAAAACCGAAAGACAAACAAAGAAAAAAGGCTGAAAGTCAAATGCGGATGAGCTGAGAACAGGACGGGGCTGCTGCTGTTGCTGCTGCGGCACAGAGGCTCTTAACAAACAACAGCAACAACAGCAGCAACAAAAAAATCACATTAAGGTTGAATCAGGCAACGTTGTTATTTTGGGTTTTGTTTTGTTTGTGTGTGTAAACAAATTATTAAGGCATAATAATACAAATACGGACTGCGGCAACAAACGTTAAAAATAAAGCGGCATTTAATACAAATACAAATCCAACGAAATCCCGAACCCACCACCACGCCTGCCCCTGGCACTGTCCATGTCAAGCCATACAACAACAAATCGCATGCGAGTTCATTGACACGCAACTCACGAAGCACGAAGCGAACACGAAGCAATCACGAGAACTCACAGAAATGGTACAAGGTGAGGGAGGGGGAGTGCAGAAACTAGTGACAGCTAAGGTAAACGTCAATTAAAATAACAAAAACAATTTCAACAGGTAACTGACTGAGTTCTTCTGCAGTTCTTCTCTTCTTCTTTTTTTGACAGGGGCAGTCTGTGCCCTAAATTCCTTTTATGACAAGCTGAACTACAACAAGTCAAAGGGGGAGGCCAAAGGGCAGACAGGCAGGCAAACAGACGAAGAAGTAGAAGTAGAGGAAGAAGTGCAGACATCGGTTAATTGAGAAAACATGCAAGTTTAGCCTTATAGAATAACTTGAATGCAGTTCTCATATATGCTATTACTTTGTACAAGAACAACAAACAATTGATGAAATTGGAGCAATAAATTATATTTTTAGATTTCAATAACTATTTTATGTATAGACGAGAAAATGCATTTTTATCGATCATAAAAAAATAAAACAGATGCCCATAAAAAAGTTTTGATTATGACTGAATATGGTATTTTGTTGTAACGATATTTCTCAGTTGATTAGCCACCACTCTAAATACCCTTCCCCCACCACACATCAGCCATCAGCTTATGCATTCCTTCTTGGGCATTCTTTTCTTCTTGCATTTCACTGTTAAAAAGCAGCACTCGTTGTGTTCCCCCGCCCCCCATTCCATTGTAACGGAATATTCTTGTGCGCAGCGCAGAGTCGAGTCTTTAAAAGCTTCAGCTGCACATTTCAACAAATACACGCCAGCCACCCCCTTTCCCCTTTAAACAAAGGCAAAAGCTAACGGTAGGCAGCAATTTGCAGGCAGTCGGACTGGGCTGGGCTGGGCTGATGATATGCTCAAGCAGCCGGGAAGCAAGCCAAAGCCACAGGAATTATAATAAAGCCAAAGACAAAGCGTCAGTCGAAAAAAATAAAATAAAACAAAATACAAAATAAAAGTAAAAAACAGCAAATGGGGCAAAAGAGTAAGAGAGAGAGGGAACTATTAAGAGCTGCCTCAAGTAGATTTATGGCTGCCTTCAAATGAGCCATCGAGAAACGCCTCCCCAGCGCTGCTATCATTGTTCTTGTTCTTATTCGTTTTTTTGGTGTTGCCTCAAAGTGTGTCAAACACATGCAGGCAGCGCGAGTAAAAGAGAGGAGACATCAGAGCAGGCAGGCAGGCAGTCAGTCAGCAATTACTGCTATTTATGACCGATTACTTCACGTTGTAAAATCAATTAAAAATGCACGAAAAAGTGAGCCAAGTGTTGTTCCCCAACCAACCCCTGCTGCACACTTTTGACGGAACAAACCGCTTCATGACTCATTAGCGTTGACATGCTAAAGCAAAACACAAACAACACACAGCAACCGTTGCGGGAGTGGGTGAGCGCGAGCGAGAGAGAGAGAGAGAGAGAGAAGCATAGGTTCTGCTGGATTGTTCGCAGCTGCGTTTACAGTTATCAGTAGTCGTTGTTGCTGCTGCCTGTTGACCATTTCTCTCTGTGCTCTGCTCTTACATGTGTTCTTCTCTCCCACTCTTTCTCTTTTCGTTCTTTTTTTTCTTGCTTTCTTATATAACCTTCCAGTGAGTTGTAATCGCTTGGAAATGAGAACTCTTCAAAAATTGGTACTCGTCGATATTTAACCTCAGAATAATTAATAATTAAATCCACATGAAAATCTGCCAGTAACTCTCCAAAGGGTATTTAAAATTCGCTACTGCATAGGTAACTGTGCTTTCTTGTTTGACTTTGTGTCTTGTGTCGTTGTGTTGTATTTGTTGAAACGGGCCACGAGTGCAACTAAAACTAAAACTAAAACTAAAAAAAACTCGCTGATACTCCAAGTCTAAAACTTGCTGCTGCTGCTGGGCAGGCGGCCTGCCTGGCAAAACTGGATTTCTTTTTGGCCGTATACGAGGCTTGGCCCAGTTAGAGTAGCAATGATATGTGAATGTATATATATAAATATATATATATATATATGTGTGTGTGTACATTAAGGAGACTCGCCAACAGGACTGACTGCATATTGTACGCCCATGCGAGAAATAATAGCAGCAAAAACTGCTTTTTTTTCTTTGCAAATGCATAAGAGAGCGAGAGGAGTAGGAGGAAGAGAGATAGACAGAGACAAACTACATATGTAAATAGTTATGTCTATGTGTGCGTGTGTGTGTGTGTGTGGGCTGAGACCAATTCGATTAGGAATGCAATGCATAATATGCAAGAAAGCTGAGCTTCAGCTGCAAAATATATGCAAGTCTTGTAGCCAACAGCAAATTAAGCTGACAGCTATGAAAATAACAAAAAAAAACCAGTTAACCCATACACAACGTGGTAGGAAAAGGAGTAATGTAGTTTCCCTCATGGTTTGAGAACTATGAAATATTTATGGGTTTGACACGAAGTTTTATTGCGAAATCCGTTGCAAATGCTAAATTTTCAGAGTTAATCATTTTTGTTCAGCAATATGCATCGGAATTTCAAATTTCTATTTAGACTTGGTTTGTGCTTCTGCTTTAAGCCATTTTTGAAAAATCCACTAAACAGAAATAAGATATATATTTTCCCCCATAATAATCCCATCTGGAATAAAAGAGTTATTCTCATTTAAAACGCAATTATTCTTACAAAATCTACTTGAAATATTTATTTGTACATTCATTTTGTCTTATGTACACAAACTTATATATACACACACATATGTATGTTAATGTATCTATGTGTGTCCATCTGGCTTGAAATATTTAGTGATACGTTTTTTCCCTGCGTGTGTGTTTACCCAAGTCATGTTGATTTAACCCACAAAACAAACCAAACCCAAACATATGTGATTTTTTTCTCCCTCTCTCAGTCTATCTCTTTACAATGGCTGCAAGAAGAAGAAGAATAACAAATGCAGCAAATTGCAGCACTTTCAAACAACACACAAGCAGCATACACACCAAATGTGGGCGAACACGTTTTTATCGCACAAAGCCATATGCAATAAACGTTGATTAAAATAAATATACACAAGAAACGCACAAAAGAAAAAAAAAAAAACAAAGACGCAAACGGAGTGTGTGTAAGTATGTGTGTCTGTTCATAAGTGTGTGTGTGTGTATGTTACACACACTCAAGTGTGTGTAAGTCATGCACAAAATGTTATATGAAGGCAATCAGCAAAAGAGCTTATCAAATAGTGCAGCCACAACAAAAAAAAAAAAAACCAGAAACTTCAAACAGCGTTTTAGAAGATAATTAATGTACACATAAGTACATACACATATAGATATAGATAAATGTACAATATATATTTCACAGCTGGCAATCATAGAATAATTAATGAATGCATTTTGTATGTTTGCCTTTGCTTCTCTTTTTAAGTCTCTTATCAGTTTAACAAAGCTTTCACAAAGGGAATGAAGGCGTAAGCAGAATGAGTAGAAGAAGCACAAGTGCCATTCGCCCCGCAGCAGCTTTAAGGACTGTGACCTTTTGTCAACAGCAGCCGCAGCAGCAGCAGCAACAAAGCCAAATACTATTTCGGGGCACGTATTTCATTGTTTAATGACCTTTAAAAAAAAACCAACGCAGACGCGGCGCCCACGCGCCTTCTGTGAGAAGGCCAACAACAGCAACAAGAGCAGCAGCACCAGCAGCAAACGACAACAACAACTTATGGGGCCATCATACGTCTCCCATTTTTTCTTCTTTTTTTTTTTTGCTTTGCTTTGCTTCATCATCATCTTCATGTAGTCTGCACATACATACACACATGCATTTATTTACACACGCATGCTGCTGCTGATGCTTCTTTTAATAAAGTAAACTAAACAATTTTCATTCTTGTCTCGTTCTTGTCTCGCCTTCTTCTACTATGAAGAACATCATCATATGCACACACACATGCACCCATGTACATGCCAGCACACACACACACTCACACATCAATACAGACGGTCGCCGACAGTCGCAATCCACCTTATGCTCCCCACCACACTGCCCACCCACCACAGCTGCAAGACAGAGTCAACAAACGGACACTCGCACACACACACGGTTACACAGAGAGGTGAAGAGACAGAAGGCACGCAGACAGCGCTGCTGCTCCTCAACACTGGCAAAACTTTACTTTCTGTGGGTGCTGCGCCCAACGTGGGGCGGCCACTGCGTGGTGAGTTTCAAAAGCTGTGGTGAATGTTTGCTGAAAGAGAAAGGCAAAAGCACAGACAAAATAGACTCACACACCACACAAAACAACGCGTGCGGCTTTTGCTTGGCTTGATGTGGTGCGTGTGGGGCATTTCATTGAGAAATGAAAAATACATAAAAGAAAACCAACAACAGCAACAACAGTGATAAACAAGACTTCGCAAAGGCGCTGACACCGGCCGGTCACTGTCGCTATCGTGGTGAATTGGGGAGGTTGGAGTGGGGTGGGTTTTTGGGGTGTATACGCACAGAGAGAGAGCAGAGCACATTGCAAAAGTGCTTAAGCAAAACACTAAATGTCAATATGCAGTTATTATGTATTATGCAGTTCTGCGTGTTTGTACGTGTGTGTACATGTTTGGAGTGGGCGTTGCCATAGTCTTTATTTTAATAACAATTGGCAACTTTTTTTGGTTCATAGAATTTGAAACGGTTGTATAATAACTAATTCATAAACATCCATATATAATTCAGTATTCGGCAGCAGCAAAATTTCTTATCAGATTGCAAGTGTTGCCGTGCGATAATTGAATAAGTGCAGTTGGGATTGAAAGTGAATTTGATGAGCGAGTGAGTGAGAGAGAAAGAGAGAGCACAGCTGCAGAAAACCATATTTAAAGTTGATGAGCGTCGCAATGCGGAAATTACTTAAAATATATATATATAAAATAATAGGAAGAAAAAAGTCATGCACACATGGCCACACCTTGCAGCAAATGAGCGAGACTCCAGCAAATGTTGCTTTTGTTGGTGAAGCTGACAACTTACCTTTAGTGCCGTCAAATCGATATCATCCAATGAACAATTCACCGATTGTGCCAGTTGTTGTTGTTGCTGCTGCTGTTGGTGCGCCATTTTGATTTGCTATTTTTTGTTATTCTGCCTGCTGCTGCGGCTGCTGTTGTTGTTTCTGCTGCTACTTCACACAAACACACACACACTCACGCATACGCACACACTGCTATGCAGGCTATGCACACCAACGCACACACACATAAACACGCACACGCATACACAGAAGCCGTCACTTTTTTTTTGCTTCTTCTCTTCTTCTTCTCTGCTGTGCTTCTGTTATTATTGTTGTTTATAAATTATTGGGCGAGTAACAAGCAGACTATGCTTTAATTATATTCTTTGAATTGCTCTATAATGGAAAATTTATAAATAACAATAAGACTGTTAAGTACGACAATTAAGCAAAATAAAACAAATTGTTATTTGTTGCTGGCCACACAACTTTTCTCTTTTTATTTTGTATGTATGTGTGTTTTTTACGGGCGCGGCACGCACTTTTTCACAGATTTTTCTCTTTTTTTGTTTAGGCAGATACAAGTGCAATTAATATTTATACATATTTAATATTCTTATTCTTCACCGATTAATCACACACACACATACACTTTGCGCTCTTCGCTATACACACACAAACAGATGTACACGCATTCATATACTTTGGATATATATACATGTATTCGTATGTGTGTGTAGGTAGACAGGAAAAAATCTGCCACTCGCTTTTTCTCTTTTGCCTTTGATTTTTCGGAGTTTGCGTTTTGGAATTGCGGTATTCTATTTACATACTTAGCGCGCACGGCGAATTGTGTTTTAGATTGTTTTTGCACCACGAGCACAATGTACAACTGACTTGCCCAATTTTCAGCAAGTTCCGGTTTGTGCAAGTTGATGGAAAAAATGAAATAAATCTTTACGCGAGCGACACGGACAAGCACGTCCGAACTCCGACGCAACAACAACAGAAATGTTACTTGCCAGCTGTTATGCGTCTGTTATGCTCGATATAACGATATCTCCTTATATCGATATACGCAGCATATCGCGACTGTTATGTTTATATGCGATAGGAACTACTATTTACAGCGACTATAATTTATACTTCTACAAGCAAAATGCTATGTTAAATTTACAAATAATTACACATTGAATCATACATTTGAATCTTTAGTCCAGTAATGTTAATGTTGCTCCTAAAATGGCACTGTTATTTTCAAAACTCAACGATATTAATTTGCTGTTATAATCAAAAGAGAATGCACAATTTTCAAGGAGTGACCCTAGCACCTAAATATAAAAATAACATGATGATACTTCACAACGATACTGAAATACCAAACATTTGTATGCACAACGCAGCTAACTTCACGTGAGTCCGAATTGCGTAGTGTGAAGTTGGCTGCGCGTTGTACATTGATCAACACTGAATGGACGTTAAGAAAGTGTGGTGGGCCGAAGATAAGCCTGAACTAAATATCGATATCGAATTTGTTAGTTATTCATATCGAAAAGTACATTGAGCATTAAACGTTCAGCCGTATATTATCATTTCACTACAGTGTGAGTAAAGTAAATGCTTGACAACATTATTTGCGTATTTGATATAAGTCTGGCGTGTCTAGTCTAAGTTCTTAAACTGTGCGTAACTTTTCAAAGTGCGCGCGCAACACGGCCAACTTTCATATGTTGCACGTTGTTGTGGCCGTGTGGCCTACGTGACTCAGAAACAGTTATCAATGGCGCAACAACAGCTGCTTCAAAAGTTCACTGACCAATTTTAGTGCAACGGCAACCCTCGAACCAAGCAGTATTCAACATTTTCGAACGAATATGTTTTAATTGAAAATCACACGCAAACACACACAGCCAGATAAACGTGTGCGCCTGTTAAATAATCAGCAAGTGTTTTCAACAAATATACAACAACAAAAACAATAACAACAAACAGCAAAGTGAACGTGCAGGAAATCCAGACATAAAAAAAACCTTGGCGCGTTTACATTTCAACAGTTGCTGCTAAAATTAGTTCTAAAGTGAAGGTGAGGCTCGTTACTCGACTTCTGACTCACTTTAGAGTTTAAATGTTTTTGTTTTTTTTTTGTATTTGTAATTTTTTTTTATTGCATTTGGTTTTCCGGCCAAACCTGAATGCGGCCTCAAATTGTGTTTACATTAAAATTTTGCACGTCTGCACGCAGTCACGTAGACACCAGCAAAATATTGTCGAGCCTCTAATAATGCTGATCTGAACACTGCGTAGTTATAGCTATATACATATTTATATATAAATTCAAATTTATATGTATGCCTTTGTTTGTCAAGGTCAACTTTGTGGCGTGTGTGTAATTCATCATCTTTTTCTCTTGCAGCAGCTCGATTCTAAGTGGTCAAAATGTTGGACATTGTCCAACCACTCGCACAACTAAGCAGCAGCAGTAGCAACAACAACAATAACAATAGCAGCGATGTGATCGTCATTCGGGCCAAGCCAAAGAAGGTGTTCAAGCCAAAGGCGCGCATCAATCGCATACCACAGGAGCTGCTCGCTGATCCGCAGCTGCAGCAGGCAATTGATAGGCTGCCGTCGAACTACAACTTTGAGCTGCACAAGACAATTTGGCGTATACGCGAGACAAAGGCAAAGCGTGTCGCCCTCCAGCTGCCCGAGGGTCTGCTGATGTACGCAATGGTCATAAGCGATATTGTGGAACGCTTCACCAGTGCCGACACCGTCATCATGGGCGATGTCACCTACGGCGCCTGCTGTGTGGATGATTATACTGCACAGGCATTGGGCGCCGATTTGCTGGTGCATTATGGCCACAGTTGTTTGATACCCGTCGATCAGACGTGTGGCATTAAGGTGCTGTACATATTCGTGGACATTAAAATCGACCCGTTGCACTTCCTCGACTCCGTCAAGCTGAACTTTAAGCCCGACGTGGGCCAAATTGCGCTCGTCAGCACGATACAGTTTGTCACCACACTGCAGGCAGCTGCCACAGAGCTGAAGGCCGCCGGCTACGATGTGCTGGTGCCGCAGGCCAAGCCTCTCAGTCCGGGCGAAATATTGGGCTGCACCTCGCCACAGCTGCCGGCGACGGCGGAAATGATTATCTACCTGGGCGATGGACGTTTCCATTTAGAATCGGCCATGATTGCCAATCCATTGGTCAAGGTGAGCAAAACACAGCTGCTCTCGATGACAACATTTTGCTGACTTTTACAAACTTTTCATAGGCCTACAAGTATGATCCGTATGAGAAGAAGTTCACCGTGGAGCGTTATGATCATGGCGCCATGCAGGGCTTGCGACATTCGGCCGTGCAACGTGCCAAGCAGGCGAAGCGCATCGGCATCATTCTGGGCACCCTGGGACGGCAGGGCAGTGCGCGTGTGCATCGGTTTCTGGAAAAGCGTCTGCATGCCAAGGGCATTGAGACGACAACCATATTGCTATCGGAGATCTTTCCACAGAAGTTGGCGCTATTTGATGGCATCGATGCCTTCGTTCAGATTGCCTGTCCGCGACTCTCCATCGATTGGGGCTCGGCCTTCGAGCAGCCACTGCTGAATCCCTATGAGCTCTCTGTCGTCCTGGGCGACATCGAGTGGACGCCAGACAATGCCTCGCCCCGCACTAATGCCTATCCCATGGACTTTTATGCCACCGGCAGCCTCGGCCCATGGACACCCAACTTTAAGCCACCAGCGCTGGGAGAATGCGAGAACAAACCGTCAGCCGATTGCTGCGGCCGTTGCACACGGGCCGAGCTGGAGAAGGACGACAGTGGCAAGGCGGCGGCATTAGCCGATCTGCTCGATTACAAGAAGGGGTAAACCACAGAGTCGACAGCTCCGTCTTGAGAACGACATCCTGCAGTCGCTCCCATATTATCTCTCACGTGAAACTTACTGCTAAGTAACTAAGTGATTTAGTTTATGTGTGCCCGCCAAGCCCAATTGTAATATACCTACTAATTTAAGTTAGTACAAATTTGGTTTCTAAGTTATGTAACTATATTATTTAGCTCAAAACTCTTGTGTTCATTTAATTTCTTCTAATTTCACCATTTTGTGACAGCATTCATCAAATATTCTAGTTTTTAGTTGCATTTTCACAAAAACAAAACAAAAAAATATATATCTGAAACGATTGTTGTCAAAGATTAAAGAAATGTCTTATTTTTTTAACACAAATTCAAATGGAACGCAATTTGAAAATTCGGAAAACATCAGTTTTATAATGACGCATTAGACACACGCCCAACTTTTTGCTTATCAGCTATATGGTTTGAAAGTAAGATTGTTGATGAAAGCTTATAGGTCACATAAAGTATATCAGTAAATACGTAATACTTTATATATTTACAGTGCGAGTCTGTCAAGCCATATTCTTCGGCCAAGTCAAGCCCTCTGCCGAATCAATACCGATAACAAAATTGGGGCCTAATCTGTTATCTGTGCTGCACTGCGATTATCAGAAAAACAATTTGAAATTCAAATCGCGTCCAATTAGGCAGTCAAATTGAAAAGGGAAGTCAAATTAGGATTGGATTGGATTTCAATTATGCGACATAATATTGAGAAATATATATTCTATCTATTTATCATTAATCATCTTTCGACTGCGCAATTAAACAATATATTGTTGGCTTCATAAATATTTTAAGATTTTATTTTCAACATAAAAATCGTTCGTAGTACAAATACGATCATCACACATAATACATGCAGTTAAAAGCTGAATATTGTATGTGTTTGTCTGGGCATAAATCAGATCGAAATATATTTTACATAGATTGCTCAACTGATCTGTGTACACCGAATAGCATTTAAGCGTTGAATCTTCAATTGTCTACATTTCAAATAAAATCGCATTCGTGTTTCGAAATTTATTTTGTTTTGATTTTGAAAATATGTTCACGTATTTTACCCGCTTAACATTTAGAGACTCTTAAATGTAATTATGTTTAAATATAGTATGCTATATATATATAGATTTTCTTCATATATATATATATATATTGTATCCTGACTGGCGGCATTTCATTAAATTAGGCTTGGATGCTGACGCACTCACAGTTAGTGTTGGGACACGTACATACATACATATTTATTTATGTGATTCAGATATACATTTATATATATATATTGATACCTTCTCTTTTCTTTTCTTTGTTTGCTTGTAGTTTTTTTTTTTTTTTGTTTTTTTTTAGATTTGTGTTTTATTCATCTTTAGGTAGGTGTATTCGTTTCTAGCTTTGCTTCCTGCAACATCACATGATTTCTATTTGCGTTTTTTTTTTGTTTTCTGTACTTTTTGTTTTGTTGTTTGTTAACGTGTTCGGGGATTGTAAATAGAGTTTTGGATTTCGTAACAATTGGGCAAGTATAACTGGGATAACTTGGTTAATTCATGTTCGAATGTAGCACCAAAAAGCAGCTGACAATAAAATAACTACACTTAATACCTAAAAGAAAAAGATCGTTTAAAATTGATACACAAAACTGTGTGTCTAATAATGCTTATGTCCAACAAATTGTTTTTTTTTCTTCTATATTTTCTTTTTGTTTCTTTTTTTATCAGCTTCTTCTTCTAGTTGTCCAACAAAAGTTTGGCAGTTTTGTTATTTTGCGTTACTGTAATACATTTTTTTGGGACTGATTCTCGTTCGGCTCGTCACAACCAATGTGTTGCATACGCTCTTTACTCAATTTATCAATTTATCGAAGGGTATTTGAGCCATGTGCTCAACATCTGATAAGTTTAGTTTAGTTAAGGAAGATATTCGGATGCGTAAATCGTTTAAAATCAATACTTATATAGAGCATGTTGCAGTTGGGAAAGTCTAGTCACAAGCAATTAGCGGTTCAAAAATCGTAACAATAAACTATGCGAACTTCGCCTAGAAGTGAGCTTTTCTATTTATAAATAAAAGTATGTAAGTAGTGTTGTTGTTGTTGTTGTTGTTAAGACTTTATCACTTTGCTTTCTCTCTGCCATATCTCTCCCTCTCTCTCGCCCCCTCTCTCTATCTCTCTGTTGGACTTGTTTTTAAAAACTTTAACACATACAATAAATTCTCATAATTCTCATGAGTTAAGATCGTCTTTAGCTGGAGCAATCTGCATTTCTCTCTCTCTCTCTCTCTTTTTCATTCTCCATCTCTGGTTTTAAAAATATGAATATATCTCTTTGCTCTCTCTCCCCCCGCCCATCCCCAACGACTTTCCCCGTTAGCCACGCACATTGGTCAGTTTGGTTTAACTTCTTCTCCTGATCCTTACAATGAGAAGTACTTTAAGAACTGTGCCGGTGGAACTGGCTGAGCCAGTGCCAACTGGCCGCCAGCCTGCTCGACGCGCTGCTTGTAATCGGGACTCTGGTCGAGGATGCATGGATGTCCGTCCGATGGCCAGAAGAGGCAGCGGCACGAGCGGCACAGGGCCAACACTTCGGCATACTGATAGTCATCGCTGACGCCATAGGTGCGACGCAGCTGATGATAGATCTGCTTCCAGTCTTTGGCATCGCCCATCAGCTTGATCTTGTCTAGATCGAGTATGGTGCTAATCTGTCGCTGATTGAAGTGGAACCGGGTCAGCTCACGCCAAATGCGCTGCTCCGACACCAGCTTGGCCATAGTCTCCCAGGCCTGGGCGGCTGACTCCAGATCCCGATGATCGGCAATGCATAGAATAATCTCGCGCACACATTCCTCGGGCAGCTCGTGCAACTTGGGTCTGGCCTGCGGATCCGGTTCCCTAATCTCAATCTGACTGGCGACGCGTTGAATGCGCTTAATGCGCGCCACATGCTCCTGCCACAGATAGGTGCTGCCCAGCGGCTTGCCCCAGCACTTCTGATTCTCCTGGTTGACAATGTGATCCAGCTTGAGCGCCAAAACACGCAGCACATTCGGGTGCTGCTGACTGTCGTTGACTGCGGGACAAAGTTTGGGATTACATATTGAGTGATTGATTGATTGATTGATTGAGTGATTGCTACTCACCGTGGGAGGCCACCTCCTCGACCATTTGGAGCAACTGACGCTGTGCACTGCCCGGCAAGCTGGCGATGCCCTTGTTGGAGACGAGCAGCAGGAACGCACAGATATAGTGGAATCGCTTGCGATCCCGCACCGAGCGACGGAAATCGAGGCGCTTCACCGCCTCGCTCAGTCCGTTGAAACCGGCTATCTCACGGGTGCACCGTATTGTGATGTGATAATGTGGCGGCATGCAAGCCGCTTCCTCCTCCTCACCAACCTGCGAGCTGCTGATGCTGCCGCTGCCGTTGCCACTGCTAGCTGCCTCCACACAGCTACCCTCCGAGCTGTGCCTGCAAAAAAAAACGTAACAAATGAAAAAGCAGTCAAAGCCAGCATTCGGAAGTGATTGCAATCGCAGCGTGCAACTGCCTCTTCTACCAGGTGCCCCGTCTGTTCGTCTGTCCGTCTGTCTTACTTGTTGGGTAAGTTGTTAGCAAATATTTGTTTTTTTTTTGTTGTTGAAATTGGAGTTTGTCGTGTTGTTTGCATTATTTTAAACGTTTGCAAACTGTTTCTTTTTTTTTTTTGAGAGGCGGAAGTCGCCAAGACGCTAAGCTCAGCTGTTGCATGTTGCAAGTGGCATGTGGCGTGTGTGTTGAAACCCGGTTATTAAATTAAGCGATTCACTGGGCGGCCAGCGGCATATTTATTTTTGCCAGTGTCAAGTTTCCCCAATTAAATGTATTTTTATTTGTTTTTGTTTCCAATTACAATTTGCACAACTTCAATTAAGTCGTTTGTGCTGTGAACTAAACGAGTAAGGAAATTGTTATCAAGCTGTATTTCCCTTTTGGACTAGCACCAATATGGAACAGCCTCGTAATTGAATCAAATTATAATCTGCACTTGACCATCATTTTAGCCAATCACTTTGTATTTCAATACCCTTGCAGAGGATACAATAATTGCAGGAGACGATTCCCACCAGATTAGATTAGATTAGGAAGATAAGTCCCATAAGACCAGTCGTTCGAAAGATTAATTCTTATATGAAAAACGTTTTTGTGTAAGAAGACATTCTGAAAAAACTCAACAGTAATGTGTGTTATTATCGAATGTTTGACATCGGATTAACATATCGGATACGTCTAATAGGAACAATGCTTAGCTAGCCGTTTCTTGTGGCTTACAATTGTTAAACGGCTACAAAATCTATCTATGCCTAGTATGAAATCTGCCCAAGTCACTGGCCTACTTTCAGTAAAACATGCGTCACACGTTTATCACCAGATCTCAGCAATCCAGCTATTAATATAATAATATATGGCTGCATATGTATCATGGTGCATTAAGGCGGTCTTCCAACGGATAGATCGATATGTGCCTTGACCATATTTAGAATGCGGCTATGCATCCGCTAGCTGGGCCAACGTTGCCAACGAGGACATGTCCTTGGGCTACTGCATTTCAATTATGGTCCAAACTGGGTCAGTTTCCCTCTCTCTCACTCCGAGTGAGTGTGCTGTGTGTGTGTGTTGCGTGTGTGTAAGAGAGAGTGCGAGTGGTAGTTGCTGATTCTATCTATTCTAACTACAATTTTCTTTAAAAGCTCCGGGTAATTGACTCCTAATTGCGTTTCAACGTTGACACGAATTTTGTGCTAAAACCGACTCTTTCTTTGTGGCTCGCAAGCATTAAAGTTTGCAGCAAAACTCAAATTTTAACGTTCACTTCATTTTCATAATTTAATTAAAATATGATTAATCGCAAATGTAGTAATTAAAAATGGTTATTTTAACATTGAGTAACCTTGCAAGAGCAGTTAATATACAAAAAAAAAAAGAAGCAAAATGCACATGGCAATGGACTAAATACAGTTATTATCAGCACGAAGTTTATAAGTTTTGAGGTTAGTCACCCGTCCCAAATAAATGTATTACAACAAAAAGCGGCAGAGTTCTATTTGCGAGTGTTTTGAAAATGAATTTGCTTTGTTTTCGTGGCTGTCGCGCAGAGTTGCAAACAAATCGCCACAGTTGGGACAAAGGCTGATGGTTCGCCAACAAATAAACAGCCTGCCGCTTTTGCCCAACCGACCATGAGATGCAACGAGAGCGAAAGATAGAGAGAGAGATACAGATAGATAGAGTGAGAGAGAGAGAGAGGGGGCGACGACCACGTGATTCATAATAAATCAGTCAACGACGTCATCATCAAGCGTTCGTTTACCTCTCATCGAGTCAAATTAAACAAATGCAAATGCTGGCTGAGATCAGGCTCCGGTCAAACTCCCGGCAGCAATTAGCTCGTCTATTTTTAAGTGTGTGTGTGACCTTTTTTCGGAACACAAGACTCGGATGAGCAGCGCTACGAGTCGAGTTCTCTAGTCCTATTTTTAGCCGAAGTTGGAAGATATCACATGTCGCTGTCGCTCTCGCAGACTCTTCCCTGGCTCTATAAATACTACTTTTTTTTTTTGGTGCGGTTCTAAACATTTGAAAACTTGAGTTCATATTTTCAAGAAATAGAAATTGTGTCCAATTTCTTTGGCAGGTTTCATTTGTTTCGGATCATGGACCCACAAGCAACAACAAAAATTATAGCAACAAGAAAAACAAAGCAAATGAACGAAAAGTGAGTGCAATAAAAAAATATGATAAATGTGCACATTACACTATGCAACAAAACTAGGTGAGTATACAAGTCGTTGAACTATAACAAAAATTTATGGATATTTATTTTAAGAAACGATCAATTTTTCCTACAATTAGATGCTAAAATTGCATATAGCGTCATCTTTAGAAAATCTATTTCGAATGGTAAACACTGCTCCATTATGATTGCATTAAAGTTGCATTACCCTGTTGAGTAGTGTATAAAACGAACGCATTTCCATTGGCTGCACCCGAGTTTCGAAAAGCAAATGAAACAAAGAGTCGATTCAAAAGGCCAACAAATGTTCAATGGAGAGTGCAGTGAAAGTGGGTCCACTATCCACTATCCACCTTCTACCATCCACCGTCCACCATCCATCCACGTCCATTCCATCTACGTCCGTATCTTCGATTCGTTGTTGGTTTTATGCAATTGGAAATTTTTAATTATGATTACCAATGGATTACGCAGTGCTCGCAATTCGGCAATCGCATTTTTTTAATTGAACCAAAAAAACAAAGAAACTTCCCCCCAAAAAACATGAAATTTCATGTGTAACATGTACAACTCGTAACAGTTATGAAATTTCCACGGCATATAAATGTATATGTGTATTTCCCATTCCCCATTTCCCATTGCATGCTATAAAAACCAAATGGTGAAGTTTTTGTTTCGAGAACTTTCGCAGTAAATTCCTAATATTTGTCGAACATAAACAAACCTTGGCCAGTTCTGGGCAATATGTTTTACATATTTTTAAAATATGATTTCAATTCGCATAGCGCTTTAGCGTTTCATTCAAAATCGATTTCAGGTGGAAGTTGAACTCATGGGAATGAGACGGAACCTTGAGTTTTTAGGGCAGCTACAAGCACCCAAATATATAAAACGCACACACACCCACTCACATACATATATATATATATACATATATATTAACTGTTGTACTTTCGCCTAAACTTGACCGAGTTTCATTAGGCACTGTGTGTAAGTCGATGTGGGTGTGGGTGTGGGGGACGCGCCAGGGGCTTGAAGTTTCCAAGGCTGCGAACCGCCCAGTTATGTATATATATATATAAAAACCGCACTCGATTTTACAGTTCGTCCTTCAGCGCCAAAAAGAAATGCTTAACAGATATTTGATATACATTTATATACACATATATATATATTTATATGTATGTGCATTTGACTTCTCGTAACTCTCTGCAGCTAATTTTGGAATTCTTTAGAAATTTCTTTGCTTTGCGCATTGCTTCCGCATTTTTCTTCCATATAAGAAGTATATATGCAATATGTATATATAATATATATATACTAGCTGCATGACACATGCCAAAAATAGGTTTTTTCCCCCGCCGCATTCGGAAAATGGTTCTTTATGACATGTCAAAATAATCACTTTAAAATGAGTTTTTCCGTGTATGCTTTTCACGCTGTTCTGGTTTATGTAAACCGTCGTTGGAGTCTTTCAAGTGAGTCGCTCGACTGGCTCGTTCAACTTGCACGTTTCGCTCTGTCACGTTTCCACATATCCCATCCCCATCTCCATCCCCTACCCCTACCCCTATCCCTTGAGATTTGAGCCAAGAGTTAACAACTGGTGCCGAGGGGTCAAGTAGTAAATGTACAAGTTTGTTCATTGTCTTTGTTTTGTGTTTGCATTTGAAATTTATATCTATTAATTTTCGGTAATTTGTAGTTCCGAAGACCAATTTCTTAGCTGCTTTGCTTAAAACTCTGAACACACTTTGTTTTTACTACGATTTCTTTATGTTCAAGAGTTAAGAAAAACTAACCATTAATCAAATGAAGAGCTTCAACAAAAAAATGCAACTCTCCCTGCCTCTTTCTATCATCATCCAATCGTTTGCTGTCACTGTCACTTTCACACTCATTTTAAGTGAGTCACCCTAATGATTATCGACATACATAAATGAATCGAAAGTACATTTCTCCAAATCAATACTCAGGAATGAGGTGAGTAGGTTTGTATATTTTGTGGGCAATCTAAAGCTAACTTTAAGTGCAATATCAATCCATTTTAAATAATTTAACATACATCTTAATGGTATTAATTTCATGGACATTATGCCGTTTCAACATTTTCCGTTTCCTCATTTTTGTATGTTTCTTTTTATGTTGAGTCGCTAGCTGTGTGTGTGGAAAAGGTGAAGGGTATTTTTATGTATACAAATGTATACAACTATTGTTGTTTCGTCTGTCATTCATTGTAATATGTATGACAGTCTATTGGCAAATAATGCTTTTCGCAATCTTTTCTAATGTGTTAACTAAGTCTGATAAGAATTTTTAGTAGGTCGCATTTAGACCTTGCCAAAAGTTGTCTGCAACGTATAACAGTTCCGGCAACCTTGGCCTTTAATCAGTCATATTGGGCAAATTATCTTATCGATGCATATGACAATATACAAATAATATATAAGTATATAGCCAACAGCTGTTTTGGCTGTAAATCTGACCTAAATAGTGTTAAAATATTCCATTGTTTTGTCTATCGATTGCATAGCGCGACAAACTGCAATATCCAATCTGATTGTTAAATAGTTGTATTGTCATCGGATCGATTGATTGCTAATCAGAGCTGCGTATTGCGTATTGTTTAGTCCAATGCCCAAGAGGAGACTCACCGTTTGCGTTTGCCGCCGCATTCGAGCACCTTTTTCTTCTCCCAGCCCTCGTCGGTTTTGACCCAGGCCTCGCCAGGTGAGCGAAAATCTTTCGAAATGAACGCCATGTGATGTGATTTGTCGTCTATTACGCTTTATTTGTGTATTACGTGTATGTATTTTTTAATTACGCTTAATGTTATTTCTTTATTGTTTTATTATGATTTTCTTTTTTTGGTTTTCTTTTTTTTTGTTTTATGTGGACGGCGGTTTTGAATAACGCGTTTTACGCTTGCGTCTCACTCAGTTAAGTCTGCTTAGTGTGTCTGTTTGCTGTTAGCTGCAAGAGTAAAAGAGTAATGTCTGTGAAATTTCGAAATTTTATGCAATTCTATAAAGCAGCGGATACAACAAAATTTGTTGCGCATTTTCCAATTTTATAAACAATTGAGTGACCCTCACGTCGAACTGCCTACACACTTCACGCTGCCAAAAGTGCTTATTGTCATTTCGGTCACATTATGCCATAAATATATATGGGCAAATTTGTTAGATTAAGCAACAGGCTAAAATGGTCTAAGATTGCTTGACTAAATATTCGAATTACTCCTTCTTTTCACTAGTTTGTAGCGAATTGAGTTTGGAAAGAGCATGAAAACGTTCGCAATTATTGTGATGCGGAATCAAAACAAAAAATATAAACGAACCAAATAAAGGCAAAGAGCTGAAGCCAGAGAACACACTCACACATACAGAAGCGAAAGAGAGCGAGAGAGCGGGAGAGATGAGCAGACGACCAGCTGTTAGCTGAGTGACATGTTAAGGGTTAAGGGGCTATGGCGGGGTATGCCTGGTTGTCGCTCAAGAGGAGCGCACGAATCGTGCGTTGTTTTGCTATCTCTCTCTCACTCGCTCTGTTGTTCCGTTTGTTTTCCTTTGTGTGTGCTTGTGTGCGAGCGTGGAGCTGTAGGTACACAGCTGATTTCTGCAATTACGCGTTTGTTTTGCTTTTGTAGTTGCTAGTGTTGATGTTGTTGTTTTGATTTGGTTTTTTGTTATACATTTTTTCAGCTTGCTCTCAAAACACGCAACAATATTTTTCGTAGCAACATTTTTAGCTAGGCTTTGCTTTCATTTCCTCAATTAAGTAATTTTGAGTCGCACACATACTGACAAATACATGTACATATGTTAACTGCATACATATATATATATATATGTGTGTGTGTTGTGTGTAATTGTTTTGTAATTGCTCAAATCAAAACGCAGTTTTTTCTTTGTATGTATAGGTGACCATTGGTAAAAAACGCACTTTGTAAATTGGCTGGTTTCGTTTTGTGTGTTAATTTCCACTTTGCTTTTGCTTAGAAGTGGCAGTAATTCAAGTCTCAGTTTTATGGATATTTGTAAAATTATAGCACTCGACGGAACACAAATTACAATGCTACTGCACAGCTCCACAAACTCCACGAACTGCTTCACTCGACGCGCTTCACGTTGCACTCGAGCCCCAATCTGAAAGCACTATGTGCAAATGTTGCTCAACATTGCATGAGCGTTACTCAAATGCTTAACAACATGTATCCTCACCTAGACAAGTTCCGCAGCATGTTGCCTCAGATTGGCAACACGCGCATACATTTTCAAATTTGTAGCAACAAGCTCCCTCAGTTAAGGAGCTTGCTTGTCATATGCAGTACAAATGTGCCATTTATTTAAATGCATACATTAAAATCAACAAGTGCCCTAATTTTACCTAGAGTAAGGTTTTACAAATCAAACTGTAAGTTTTACAGTTTTGTAACTTGTAGTACGAATAATTGGCAGCTGTGCTTAGCAACATGAGTCAAAACACTTTACCAACGTTCGATTTCACAAATTCAATGTGAACTATCGATTGCTTTCATGCATAGTCGATTGATCGATACGTGCTAATCAACGATTTAGTCCCATCACTAATTCATGTGAGATTTCATAATTTTTGCCGAAATTGTCCAATTGAGAAGAAAATTTCCCCTCAAGCAGGCTAATAAAGATCTCGACCCGAGTTGTGTAATAATGTCGGCATCGGAACAAGGACCCAAAATCAAATACGGCGAAACCGCACCCAAGCTAGACAAGGCCCAGCTGCAGTTCATGAAACTCATCGAGCAGCAGAACTTGGATCGTGTGCAGAAATTGAAACGCACGCGGCGCAACAACTTGCTGACTGCCGGCGCACTCGGTGTTTCCGTGTTGGCCATATACGGTTACTCCATATTCTCGGTGCAGCAGGAGAAGTTCCTCGACGACTTCGACGAGCCGAAGAAGGTGACCACCAACTAATAAATCCGTTAAATAATCAGCCCGCAACCAATAGTTACAGTTAATCCTTTAGTCGTTAAGCGTTTTTTTACACAACTTTGAAATCGTTGCAGCAACCACACAACCATCAATGTAAGTATTCCAGAAATTTGACATGACCTGCTACAAGGATTCATTTTTTAATTTATCGCTTGCAGATGTCCCAAGCGACGGCGCGCATCCTAAGTAGCGGCGTCCGACTGCCGCCGTTGCCCACCATTCGTGATCTGGTCAAGCTGTATAAGCTGCAAGCGATGAAGCAGCTCAGCCAGAACTTTCTCATGGACGAGCGGCTGACGGACAAGATTGTCAAGTCGGCGGGTCGCATAGATCCGCGTGACATTGTCCTCGAGGTGGGCCCCGGACCCGGTGGCATAACACGTTCCATTTTGCGGAGGCAGCCGCAGCGTTTGATCCTGGTCGAGAAGGATGCACGCTTCACGGAAACGTTGCAGCTGCTGCGCGAATGCGCCAGTCCCTTGCAAATGCAGGTGGACATCTACCACGAGGACATCCTGCGCTTCAATATCGAGAAACATGTGCCGGACACCGCACAGCGTCTCCATCTAATTGGCAATCTGCCGTTTTCCATCTCCACACGCCTGCTAATCAATTGGTATGAGGATCTGGCGGCGAGACGTGGTGCCTTTCGACGCAACGACACCTGCATGACACTCACCTTCCAGAAAGAAGTCGCCGAACGCATTTGCGCCCAGCTGGGCAGCGAACAACGTTGTCGTCTCTCGGTCATGTCCCAGATCTGGACGCAGCCGTTGCTAAAGTTCATCATACCGGGCAAGGCGTTTGTGCCCAAGCCCCAAGTGGATGTTGGCGTTGTCAAAGTGATGCCCCTCAAGCAACCCAAGACACAGCTACCCTTTGCGCTCGTGGAGCGCGTTGTGCGTCACATATTTAGCATGCGCCAAAAATATTGTCGCCGTGGCTTTGGCACCCTTCTTCCACCGGATGGACGCGAGGAGATTACACACAACCTGTTCCAGCTGGCCGATGTGCAAGATACGCTGCGTCCCTTTGAGCTCTCTGTGGCCGAGTGCCTGCGTCTCGCCGACGTCTATGCTGAGCATGTGGCTGCCCATCCCGAGGTGGCCTGTTACGATTACCGGGCGCCGAGGCAGGAGCGCAATCAGGACTGAATCAACGATTTCATCACATTTCTTTTGTTTTTTTTCGTGTATACTGTATAAAATATGTATTACATAAGTTTTCAGTCAAATTAGAGACTGTAACAGAGAAAATATTAAAAATTGTACAAAAATAATGTGCGTTGTTTGCGGACGGAATGTTTGCTAGACGAGATTCGAGTTAAAAAATTGAACTGTCGTTAATTCTAAAAAAGGCACTTTGGTACTTGGAATTGCAGTACGGTTTAGTAGATTACGCTGCGCAGTAGCAGCAGCAGGAGTACAGCTGCTCCAGCTAACGCTGAAGGATGATGCAGACCGCTGGCAGCATTGCAGCGATGGTCGAGGAAGCAGAAGCAGAAGGTTGTCTCGGTGAAGTAATCACGCTTCACATCGTGCTCCTTGATTGTGTGATTGACATAGTGGCCCAGGCGCACATCCTTGGCGGCCGGGCGACAGCCCTCGTACTTGTCGGCGGGTATGTCAGTGCGAAAGTTGAGTGCACTGAGACAATCGCGGGTAATCGTCTCCTTGGCGCCGCGTCTCTCCGTCACCTTGACGCAGATATCGTTGGTCTCGGGACACTGTTCGCCGAGAAAACCGATGCCGCGCCAGTTGAAATTATCGGCACAGCCGGGTGTTGCAGATGTGCAACGATAACACCAAATAGCAGCACCTGTTAATGAATATCCAATTATTAATATATATATTAATATCCACAATTCTCAATTGTTTACGAACTGTTGCTTCTTCTTCTGGTCATCTCACTTGGAGTTTCAGTGACTTACTTTCGTGTATGAAGGCTGCCATTAACAGCAGGGCAGTAAGCAATGCTTGTGCTTGCATCTTTAATTGATATAACTCAACAAGTAGAAAAGCTTAGCAATTATAATTGGTATATTTATTTTGCTTTCGCGACAAAAACAACGCCCAAGCCAGGGATAACGATGACACACGTTTATGTTATCGAATGTGGTCTATCGAACATCCACCACAATTTATATATCACCAGTGCTTGAAAACACAGCCACAGGCGTTGTTAAACTATTCGCGCCAATTTCAAAAGTTAGCCATATTTATTTACTTGGTGAGAGACTCACCTAGTTTTTAAAGCAAATAAAATAAACAATCTTTGTTGTCTCTCACCTTATTTGACATTTAGTTTTGCAAATTTGCTTTCGCTGTGACATACACATTTATGTTTGTTTTTTTTTATTGCACACAATGAATTCATTATCATTTTGTTTACCTATTTACAACCTATTTCCGAAACACAAACGTTTGTTGTTTCCTGCTAACAGTCATTTATATTTTTAGAGCCGCAAATTTAGTATGCAAATCAGTGGCAGAGGACGGCGAACCAATAAACTTTTGCTCGTATTTGGTGATCGCTTTTTGAGTATATTTTATGGTGGAATGTGTGATGTTTGCCAAATCAATATGGCCAAGTGATGATTCAGCCGTCCAAGATGAGAGACAAGCACTGCTAATTGAACCAACGGCTTTGATTTTTGTTGACAAGTCCATAAAAAGCCGACTTATGCGTAATCAAGTGAGTGCTGGAGCGTCACAATTTATTAATTCGAAGCTGAAGAAAGATGCCCAAATATGGTATTAACGAAATATATCTCAAAAACAAGGGCCCAAGGCTATGCTCTCAGTCTACAGTCTTTATCCTTTAATTTACACATAAAACACATTTGTTTTAATTATTAATTTTTTTTATTATTGAGTTTTTTGTTGTGGCTTATAACTAAGAAACTAAACCATTTATACAGTTAGTCACGTTTGCAAATATCGCATACAGTGCTTTTTGAAATAATCAAAAAAGGAGAGGAAAAGTTAATCATATTAATTACGTATGCTCACACATGAAACATGGATAAAAGATCATCAAGAGTTTTACAAAGAAATTATGCAAGTTGTTTTGTTATGTACAAAATTGAATAATAAATAAATTATGCCTTCTAAATGAATCATTCACACAAAACAAACAAACAAGCTTACTAACTAAGAAACACTCGCACACACACAGTCAAATAACTAGAAAACTACGAATACATTTCATGTAAAATCACGTTTCAGGTCTGTAGCAGGCCCAACCCCCATACCCCAAATTGCCCCATGTAGAAAAATGTGTAATGTTTTCTCCCTGCTGGAGTCTTTAACTAAATGGAGACGACAAACTCCTTGCCGGTCTTGAAGTCGACGCACTTGAACTGCGGACAGCACTTGGGGAAGCTCCAGTTGAGGTCACTGGGCAGCTCCTCGCAGCCGGGCATCTCGATGTAGGGACAGGTCTCGATATTGATCTGACGCGCCTCAATGTCGCACGTCATGGCGGCACAGATGCCCTTCGGCTTGTACTCCTTGTTGGGGAGCATGGAGCGTCTGGTCAGCTTGTCGTAGCATTTGCCGGGATGCGCTGCAAGTTGAAATAATAAAGAATGTGAATCAGTTAAACCGGAAGTTGTTTTTCTTGTTGTGCTTTATTACAGCTGCTTGCATTTTGCTTTTTATTTTTTCTTCTCGTTTTCCATTTCTGATTTATGCACAAGGAAGTTGGCTCACATTATGCAAAACTCATTGGGGCAACTGCCAATACACATATGTACATACAAAATGTATGTGTGTAACCATCTATAAATATCTGTAAGTATTTGCTTTCAAAATGATTTCGACGTGACTATCTCAAAAAACTGATCAAAAGACTTAAGCCACGAACTTGACAGTCACGCCGCAGTCAGTCGACTGTGTGCAAATAGTGAAAAACAAAAATACGCTTGCTCTCTTGTGGCATATTTAAAAATAAAACTCTGGAGTGGCGGTACTTGCAAACAATTGACAGCCACGCTATTATTTATAACAATTAGCCGCCGGCTATCGACATTTTGATTAATGGTACTTCTCCATTCAGGTCGAAGGCGGTGCGATCTTAAAGAGTTTTGTACATTAATTTTAATAGTTGCTGTTGTTGTTATTTTTGCTAATTGAGATTGGGCTAAAGAAATTCGCGTGAACTCATCGCCTATTTTTAAGCATTAGTTAGTTAGCTCGGCATTCTCTTAACCCGGTCAGCAGTTGGACGACCTTCACGATAACAGACAAATGATAAATTGTGGGGTGAATAAGAAAAACAAACATTTTATCAAAAGCTGCGACACTTTTGTAATACAAATCCGCATAGCTATGCAAATTAGCAGAGCGCATCTTAATTCGTTAATAAAATGCCAGCAATATTAAAAAATCAGCACATTTCTTATGCTAATTTTTGGCAGAAGCGAAAAACGCAAAAAACCCACATTTGTATCAGCAAAACAAAAAAAGAAAGAAAAACACAAAATACATAATTTAGTTGTTGTTTGCTACTAATTTGGCATCGACTGTTTTGCGTTGTTTTCATTACGTTAATTTTGTTTTATATTTTTGTTTTGGGAATGTTGACGTCAACGAAAACAGCAAAACAAAATATATCTAAATCCCATAACTCAAAACAAAGGCAAAGCGAAAAACACCCAAAAATACAATAATACAAAACAAACATAACTTTGAGTCTGACATCTGACGTCGACATCTAAAAAGTTGCAATTAAAGGTAGAACAATTCTCCGAATTTGCGACAAATCAAAACTATCACAAAACATCTTCTCAACTTGAACCATAAATCAATCACAGAAACTGCTAACCGCTTTTAACTTTATTAGCTTTTTTTTTATTGTTGCTAAAAGGTCGTTTATGACTGAAATTCATTTAAAATTTAATTAAAATGCGTCAGTTTCTCAAATTGTGGAAAAATTTGGATTTAATAGCTCTAAAACAATGTATATATATAAAATACTGTCTGCTTTTATTAACTTGATTTTTGTGTGAGCGAAAAAAGGAGAAAATAACGAAAGTGCAACCGAATTTAAAAATTAAGCTTCTTATTGTTTCTGGAATACTAACCAGGATTGATTATCGCGGGCTGAGTGTAAACAGCCGCTTCGGCAATGCAGGCGAGGCAGGCGAGGAACGCGATTGCGACACAAACTTTTTCCGCGTACATTTTAATTGTTGATTTTTGTTGTTTGTGTAAATTGTTGCAAAATATTGTTGTTGTTGTTGTTGTTGTTTAATGGTGTTTGTTCACAGGTGGTTCAACTTTTGTAAACTTTTTACAGCGTTTTACTTGTCTGTGCTTTATGATATTGTTGTCGAGCTTTGCACTGGGCACTTAACAGTCAGCAACTGAGGCTACAGCGGCCAGTGACGCTCATATTTAAGCGAATATCGCTGGCCTTTCGGCTCACACAGACTCACTCACTCACTCACACTCAAGCTCTCTCGGACGTCTCTTTTTTTTCTGCTCTCTCCCGCTCTTCAGCCAAAAAGCACATGTTTTCTTTTTTTTTTTATTGTTGTTGTTTGCTTCGGCGTTTTCGCTTTACATTTTTGCGTCTTGGGTTATTCCGCGACTAACGCGCTAACCATAAATCTTAAGGCCCATCTGCAGTGCGCAAACGTCCATACGTGTGTGTGTGTATTTACTGTTTGCCTTGCCGGCGAAATGCTTTTTATTTTTCACTATTTCACTTGGCCGCCCCCATTATTGTTATTGTTCTATTTGATTCGCCCACGCCTCATTTGGCTCAACTCATTGTTCTGCATTATTTTGCAGTTAATGTAATTAATTGCTTGATCACTTCAAATGGCAATCGGTTTGTCGACGGGTTTATCCAAATCCGTCTGGCTCTCTGTGGGTCGTGGGAATAGATGTGGGCGTGCTTTGGGGGCGTTTTGCACGGGCCCTCTCTGCTTTCATTTTATGGCATTGTAATATCTTTGGAGCTGACATGCTTGTCTTATTTTTGCTTAATCATCGGCTTGATATGATATATCTATTAGTTGTAAGATGTTTCGAAGAACCATAAGTAAATTCTTGTTATACTCTACTTCCAATTAGAGCTTTAAATGATAGATCACTCTCACTGTATATTCAGTTAAATTCAGTTGATAAAAACTGGTACTTATATTTTTTTTAATGTATTTAGAGTATGTTTACAAATTTGTCCTGACAGGGCTTGATGAATCTCCCCGCCCCCTCCAGACGAGTATAATGGGGTTGCTTGCATTGCTTATTATGCCGATCGACTGGCGCCAAGTTGACGACACCGGCCGCCAGGGGGCGTACCGTTTAATAAAAACTAGTCGCCTGCTTTTTTGCTGTTGTTGTTTTCTTTTATTGCATACCAGAGCTTAAATACCTATTATCCGCGTCCGGCATTGCACGTCATTCTTAACAACAAAGAAAGGACAGCAGCTTTTTTTGTTACATGTCAACAATCAACTATTTAATGCCATCATTGCGTCCTGTTAGCTAATGTCAAAGTTTTGGTACAGACGTAGAAAAAAATGAATGATTCCAGCTGATGTGTTTATGTGTTTATTGTTTATTAGTGGCCTCTTGTTCGATTTGATTCTTGTTGTCGTCTCAGTACCCCAATATACCCGTTTAACCCGTTCCAAGCCTCAATACGCATGTCACACTTGCAACAAGCGACAAGTAACAACTACGTAGTGTGACGTCAATGTTGTTGTTATTGTTATTATAGTTGTTGTTGTTGTTGTTGTTGTTGTTGTTTGTTGTTGTTTTGTTTGCTTGTGTTTGGCGTTGGTGCCGCTGACATTGCCTTGGCCTGGCAAGTCAGCAGCAGAGACTGAAACCAAGATCATTTTGCGGCGGCGCACGCTGGAATTTATTAATTATGACCGGGTACAAGATTTCAGTTTTGCCTTAGCACAATGCTCGAGGGGCGGCAGCCGGTCGACAGCTATGCTAAAAATTCCACTTCGAGCAGCCGTTTTATAGCTGATTTATTGTTGATTCGTATTAATGTTATTGCTCATTTTTGGACTACGTGCCAATCTGACGTTGTAACTAAAAGAAACCAAAAAAAAAAAAAAAAAAACACAAAAAAGACGATGTAAACAAAAAAATAAAAATTCAAAAAAATAAAGATACAAATTGATAAATATTTATAGGGTTTAGGTTTTTTGTTTTGACGTGACGCATAATTAGTAATAAATTGTGTATTAAAACAGTCAGTTCGCATACAGTAGCAGGCTTTTAGCACCCTCCCCTACCCCTAGTCGCCCCCCTCTCCTCAAGCGACATGTAAACAATTAATTCTTGATTAATTTTATTTGATGTGTGCTGCGTACAAGCAAACAATTCAGTCCCCTGATGTATTATTTGTATAGATCTCACAAGCTGATATATATATTTTTTATTATTCTTTCACTATTTTATCATTGTTTCCATTTAGTTTTAAGTGCGATGGATCAAAAGACAAGCAAATTAAAACTTTCATATATTTAATTGACTTGCTTAAGATATTATGGTTCAACATTTATGCGGTATTCCCCAGTATTGTATGGGAACCCACGGATAGGGAAAGACATTTCTTTTAGAGTCACAAAGATGCAGACTTTATAAATTAATTTAAACCAAATTTGCATATTTAGCACGTTGTATTTTTTGTTGTTGTCTTTTTTTGCTCATTGAAAAACCCCGAGATACCAAATCCGCATTCGAGGAGTAGAAGAAACCAAAAAGAGTCTGGCGCCAAAGAAATTGCGAATAATCCATCAAGCCGTGTTTTGAGTGGTTTTGTTTATCAGTGTCAGTCTCAGACTGGCTCTCAGTTTCAGTCTCAGTATCAATATCGTTGCTAGCCTCCAGCTCCAGCCTCCGACATGTGCTAATCGCTCCGATGGAGCGTTGCGTGAGGTGTTTTTTGTCTTATTTTTTATTACACATCAACGTCGCCAAATGTCGGCATCGTCTTGCTACCGTCCGACCGGTCCACAGACGAATTTTTGAATCTATTTCCCGATCGAAATGTGGACGCAGCATCAGCAGCAGCAGAAGTTTACTGCGATTGTGTCTAATTATGCAGGAATTTGAAGAGGCGGCGTCTCCGAGTAAAAAAACAATAAATTCTGCGAATTTGACAGTTTTTTCTATATGCTTTTATTATGCTTATATGACAGGCTAATATCATAAATTCTTCCAATTAACAGGATTAATTTGTGGACTTTCAAGATCATAGATTCATAATGTACTCATTCAAGTAAAATTGATCATTTTTTACATGCGTGCTGCAAAATTTTGAAAACAACCACATGTAGCAAGCCAGCCGATTTCAATTCATATGTCAGACAGAATTGTTTTCAAAATTCATGTAATTGGAACTAGTATGAAATAACGGTTAAATGGCAAATAGAAATGTGAACACAATAATCATACAGCTGGTTCGCACCCTTAAGAGAATCAATCAACCGGTCACCATTCAGGAGCTCATCACTTTTTCCAATCTCCCACAGAAGAATCGTCGTCGAATCAAAAGGGCGATAAGGGAGATACTCGAAATTGCTGTGAGACTTGGCCATGTTAAGAAATCCAGGCGGCGGTATTCGGCCGTTAGCCACTTCAAGGACAATCAGCCGTTATGCTACGATTAACAGCTCGCCCGACTTTTGTCAACGGCGTCTGAAAATATTTTTACGGGTATTACATGTCTGACTTCGACTACTTGCTGACAAGTATGTGTGATAATGTCTTAATCTATAAGTTATGAAATAACTGGGTATTTTAATCTCTCGGATTTAATATAATTTTGTTGTGGCTTAACAACATGAAATGGACAATAAAGCCATAGCATGCCTGAATTAATTTGTTAATTTATTTTGTGCACAGTTACTGCTAATAGCAGAGGCGGGACGATTGTTGCTACCCACACTTTGTTTTTAGAGCCTGATCGCTCCACTCGCAAAAATCACTTAGCAGTTGACGAATTGCCAGACAAACAAATATATGCCGACATTTAACTAAATGAAATGAGCTGTAAAATAACGAAAATTATATTACACAAGATGGGGGCACTCGATTCATTTAGCCAAATTCTTATTTTCCAGCCAAGCGACTAAAAGTTCCAGTCTCTGTTGTTATTTCGGGTTAAACCCAGTGCAAAAGAGCATCTTCTTTAATCACCTCGCCTCGCTTCGAGTCGCTTCTTGTCGCTTCTCTAATAAGCATAGTGGAACTAGTCCAAAATGCCGGCGACTTTCTGACGCCGTCGCCGCCTCGATGACGCTGTTTACTTTCACGATCCGGTCCGTGGTTGAATTTTAAATTTGTGACGTGGAATAACCAATACTATGTATGTGTATATATATATTTATTTATGTATATCTAACAAACGCAAACATGTATTGTTATTTGCAAATTACAATTTTAATTAGGTGAATTTGTTGACTAAACAGAGGTTGGTCAAAATAAAAATCCAATACATTTAAATACAAGGCTGGGGCCAGAGAACCCAGCTCAATTTAGACTAGCCAAGATTTAGGAATTCCCATTCGTATGTTTTTAAAATTCCATTTTATTTGAGTAAGAGATCATTTGCATTCCAAATTCGCTACACGGCGAAAAAACCAAAAACACATTTGTTTTTGATATTTTGTTTGTGCTACTGTCTACCATCCATCCATAAACTTATACATATATATTTTCCAACTATAATTATCTCGTTATTATCAGAATATTCATAAAAATAAACGATTTTTAAATTTAATTGTCAGTATTAGCTAACTTAAACTACGCCGAAAAACAGCGAATTTTAATTAGCCTTGTTGACCGAAGTCAATTTGACGACATTTAAATATTGATGCCGAGTGCGAAATATCATAATGTTTATGCACGTTTTAAGCAATTTGAATTTATATGGTTTCTGTATCACGACTGACTGCGAACTGCATATTTCACATTTGTGTAGTTATATAGGTCTACGCCTATCTTGATCCCACAACTTAAAACTCAACTTTCGACTGATTCTCGCTATATCAGATATAGTGGTCCGATCTGGTCGGCTCCGACGCACTGACTAAAACAAAAATATATATACAAGTTTCAGCTCATTTGAAAAAAGACAGAATGGAAAAATAAATAAGTTATACCATTTATAAGGCATAGAAAAAGCAAATATATGTTGTTTATGAGAAAGAATATACAGAATGAATAGTTGTTGCTTGAGATTTAAGTGCACCAAGACTTTAAGTATATATTGTAATAGATTCTTTTTATATGACAAACGGTATTGTTTATTAAATAAATTTCAAAGAGCTGCGGTTCGTTATGTGCAATTTCAATTGGAAGACTTGTTGTAGTGTGTAGAATGCTGATATCGATAAGCAAAGTAACGAGCACAATAACAATATATCGATACTATCGCATAGAAAATCGATTGTACTGCTCTGCACTGTGTAATTTTCCGCGAATGCAGCATGTTTGTTGCGTGATTTATTTATTTTTATTAATCTAACCAGCGAGCCGTGGTGACCAAAAAAGTGCAAGCACTCAACAGGTGCTGTTGCTGCTGTGGCCATGGCTGAAGTCAAGGATTGGCGGCCCTTTATCTACGGCGGAATGGCATCCATAACAGCCGAATTTGGTAAGTTAAAAGCGGCGATGATATTTGATTCTATAGAATATGGTGTAAACAAACACTTGCTCGTCTCCTACATGCATATTTGTGTGTCTGTGTGTGTGTGTGTGTATGCACATGTTACTCTTTGCAGGCACATTTCCCATCGACACGACAAAGACCCGCCTACAAATTCAAGGACAGAAAATTGATCAGACATTTTCACAATTACGATATCGTGGAATGACTGATGCATTTGTCAAAATCTCCAAGGAGGAGGGACTGAGAGCATTGTATTCCGGGTAAGTCAACAACTATACTCCGTCCAGAATGCATTCAAGTGACCCAATAACGTGCAAGCTTCTGATTCCATTTACACACATATGCAAATTATTAAGCATGCATGCAAAACTGCAATGTGTGCAAATTGATAACGAGCCACGGCAAATTGACTTCAAATCCGATGAATGTATACCCTTACAATTTGAAGTAATTATTCACCATGATGTTGGAAACATAATAATAATCGTAGCTAGAACAGATATATATTGGCAAACACTGATACTCGTTCCACAAGAAGCCATTTATTGACAGACTTGCGCTGTCATGCAGCACAAAATTTCAATACTCTGTGTTAAGGTATACGGAGTCGTCTCGTGCCATAATCCGTTCAGTGGACTACATCATATGAAATTGGCAGTAAACTTTGGCCCTGCCTGATAAGCACAACAACAGCAGCAGCAGCAGCAGTAACAGCAGTCACCCTTTTAGACTTTGTTATTGAATTTCTGTGATAGCCAGATATCAGATAAGCAATTATTGTCTTGCAGTATTTGGCCGGCGGTGCTGCGACAGGCAACCTATGGCACTATCAAATTCGGCACCTACTACACTCTTAAGAAGCTGGCCAATGAGCGCGGTCTGCTGACGCACAGCGATGGCAGTGAGCGTGTATGGAGCAATATCATCTGTGCAGCGGGAGCGGGTGCCATCTCATCGGCAATTGCCAATCCAACGGATGTGCTCAAGGTGCGCATGCAAGTGCATGGCAAGGGCACCGATCAACTGGGTCTGCTTGGCTGCTTCCGCGAGATCTACAAGTTTGAGGGTGTGCGCGGACTGTGGCGTGGCGTTGGCCCAACGGCACAGCGAGCTGTGGTTATTGCATCCGTCGAGCTGCCCGTCTATGATTTTTGCAAACTGCAGCTGATGAGCGCTTTTGGTGATCAAGTCGCGAATCATTTTATGTAAGCACTGCGCGCACACATTATTCGTAAACACCATTTATTTGATGTTTATCACATTTCAGTTCGAGCTTCATTGCAAGCTTGGGCAGCGCCGTTGCCTCGACACCAATCGATGTGATTCGAGTAAGTGGAATTTCGCACAATTTACTTTGATGTAATTAAGTGATGCTAAAATACTCACTTTTAATAGACGCGCCTGATGAATCAGAGGCATGTGACTGTACTGAATGGTGGCCTTGCCACTGCAGCTGCAACAACACCGAAGCTCTACAGTGGAAGTCTGGATTGCGCTGTGCAGACGATTCGTAACGAGGGTCTGCTGGCATTGTACAAAGGCTTTATACCCACGTGGGTGCGCATGGGCCCCTGGAACATTATTTTCTTTATCACGTACGAGCAACTAAAGAAATATTAGCAACGTCGTTGATCAAAAAACGTCAAGTATAAGATGTATTTAGCATTGAAACCAAAACCAAAAGAAAATCTATTTTAAAATAGGAGCATAATTGAAATGAAATCGAGCCAGGGAGTTGCCACTAATGTGCCTGTTGCATGTTGACTATTTAGTATCCAGAATGAACTTCCGTCATCTAATGAGTTTACGTAGGACAAATGTAATGACTTTTGAAATAATTCCTAATTTGGCCAGAAGCATTTGAACTATCTGCATTTCGAAAAAGTTTGGTAAATCCCATGGAGTACTTGACAATTGGAAGAGCGCCAAGTATTCCTCTAGTCTTGTTAATGCCATTTAATTTCAAATGCATTTCTTATTCACATCTATGTGTGTACAAATATTACATCTTGCGGAACGCATTTAGGAATTAATATTGTTAACTTAAGGAAAAAATGTGACAAAAATTAGTACAATTTAGCTTTTGATTTGGCTTATTTAGTTTAGTTTGAAATTGTATTAAATCGCACTTTTCATTTATTCACAGCAGTTAATTGAACTAGTTTGCATTACTTCAAAAAAAAAAATAAAATTATGCTGTAAATATGTGCATTTAGTAATACATTTATATATGATATAATACATACCAAACAACGATATGTACGAGCAGAACTAATTAATAAACAGATCGTCTGAAATCTCATAACACTTATAATTAATGTGTGTAAACCTTTATTATAAATTACAACATAATTTTCTACTGAAGCAAAAATGAATGAATAAATGAATTAGTACAATTATTTCTCAGGAACAGAAAACTGTCTCCAATCACCTCTTCAAATTGTCTTATTAATTGTATAATAAATATGTGTATATGAAAGAATAGTACACAAAAATAACAATGCCTTTATTATTTTGAATTGTTAGTCACGGATTTAATAGTTATGATTTATAAACGTATTTATTTTTTATTCTGCCTTCGCAATGAAAATGCTAAACTAAATATCGCGTAATGTTTTTGAATTCGGCGCCCTAAACGCCCTTTCGATTATTCCCTAATGCGATAACAAAAATTGCAATCATTGCTTATCGACAAATTGCCGCCAATAGTTGAATTAACGGATTTCGAGCGTCGAAATCACTCCTTGCTGTCTGTCAAAAGAGAGATACATTATTACGATTTGTTCCATGGATTTCGTAACGGCTCTTTCGACCGGCGCTAAAGTCAATGTGAGTAAATTAAACAGCGAATGAAAATATTTGCTTATAGCTCGATTTACTTTCAAGTTCGCGACCGAGCAGTATATATACAGTTTCATCCAGGCTGTCACGGCCGATCCCCACAACTGGTTGGCAAAGGTGTCGCATAACTTTGTCGGGCAGTGTTTCCAAGTGCTCGGCCTGAAGTTCAATGCCACCGTCGAGTCATTTCAGCAGTTCAACTACTTTCACCCGTATTGCGAAGACAACTTGAACTACGTGTATCATGTTGTGCCATTTGTGTTGAGTCGAGTTGAGGCGTTTCTGGACGAGTTGCCTACGCGACTTGCTTACTATAATAGTCAAGTTGCACAGGAGTCGCCAGACACACACCTGGGCCAGCAATTCTATGATCTAACAAATCCTGTGCGCTGCTACTTGCGCATGGTCAGCGTCTGGACGATGGTGGTGCGTGTCATTATTAATAAACTGCAGTTGAACTTCAATCTAATTGATCGGTTCATCTGCGAACCGTTGGCCAGATTATCGTTTAGCCTACTTCATGGCTTGGTCAGGCTGCTACCCAATCATGGCGAACAATTTGAGCTGCTCAACCAAGTTTGCTTAACCCTTGCCGTTCTTGCCCGCTATGGCATATTGTAAGTGCTTGCTCACAGTCCGCTTGTACTAATCGAATAACACATAATTCCTATTCGCTTTGGCAGCTACGAGGCGACCTGTCCGGCCATACTAACACCTATGTTGGACATATTCGCTGAGCACTTTCAACTTTTCTGCGGGGCCACAAAATCTGCTCTGAACTTCATCTACATTGTGTTAAACTGCGAGGTATAAATAACGGCTACAATAAAAGTAACTAAGTTACGACAGTAATTGAAATCTTACCTTCTGTCTTACCAGATGACGAACAGTGACTCTTATATTCAGACATACAAGTTTCTAATCTCGATGTTGGACAAATTTGCTGATGGACAGCAGCGCGATTCAGCGAACAATTTATATTTGCGCCTCTTTACCAACGAACTAATCACCGATAAATACCTGGCCCTACAATTTGAGATGCTCAAAGGGCAGACCAATCCTTTGCGTTTGGCTACGCTTCAATATTTGCAAACCTTGCAGCAGTAAGTCAACCTCTTATTTTGCATTTCACGCACACACTCATCAGTCTTTTATTTTAGGCACCTGGTCAGCGCAGAGATTTTCCCGTTGCGTTTTCTGGAGCAAATCTTGATGATTGTATTGGACGTCTCTCATGTTTCAAATGCGGTGTGTTCCTTGGCTGCACAACTGTATGTGACTCTGGCTCAGCGCCAGCTTCATGACCGTCAGATATTCGTGCACATATTGGAATTGTTTCTAAAAACACACCATATCACACAAAAAAAAGTTGCCAACTATGACAAGCTTATGTTGCTCTTGAAAAACTATATAAAGAAGCTGACGCCGTACTTTCCAGCTGTGCAGTTCTTCAAGTCCTATCAAAATGTATTCAGTGCGGGAGATGTGCGACTGGAGGTCATTCAATTGGCCGCTCAAGCTCTTTGCGCCCTCTTTGAACTTTACACGGAACAGTATGCTGAAAGTGAGCTGGCCCAGAAGCAGGTGCATAAGCTTCTGGCCAATTGGCCGGATCTACTTGAAAGGACTGCCCAGCGGCCAGAGATACGTACCGTTATTTTTGGTATCTACAGTGTCGTGGACTTTGAGGCCATCGTGAATCAAAAGCCACGAGTGAGTTGTTGGTAAAATTAAATGCATTTGATTTGCAATCGATTACTTTTGCAGTTGATTTGTGCACTGGAAAGACACTGTTTGAATATGTTTGTGGATGATGAGACGCTTAACGAAGCCGACTTTTCAATACTATTCTTCAACATCTGTCGTTCCGTGGAGGTGACAGGAAACGAAGAGCTGCTTGTAGCTGCTGCACTGAATTTGCAGGATAAGTATGCAGAGATAGCGGTGCACTTGCTGGATCGCGATCAGGAGAGAGTACAACCTGACCGACTGATGGAATACGCTAAATGCGTGCGATGTATTTATGTCCTGCTCAGGCACAACAAGCTGCGCGGCCATCAGGTGTGCGATATATACGAGATACTAGCCCAGCAAATGCTGAAGATTTCAGTAGCCAATGAGTGTCTAGGTAAGCCCATTCTTTAATTATTTATTACTACTCTTATTGAATATCTCTTCATCTTGTGTATCGCTGCAGCTCTCTATGGCTACGAGTGTTTGGCGCTAATGCTTGCACTGCTGCATCGGGAGCGAGACCAGCTGGTTGATGCCCATGAGCACGAGGCAAGATCCATACGGCTGGCCGAGGAATTGTACGTTGTCTGCGTGCGTGAAATGGGCAACCTGTTGCCGAACTTGCAACACGGCAAGTCTCTGTTTTGTGCCATTGTCGTGCTGCTGCTGGGAATGCAGCATAGCCTGACGCTCAATGCGCTCACTTATGATGTTTTGCTGCAGCAACTCTCCGATTCAACGTTGGCAATTAAAGCACGAAGCGATACACTGTACTTAAGCTACGTGAAGGAGATGTACTCGCACATTCGTCAGCTACACGCTTGTGAGTCGATTGCATTGCCCACGTATCGCATATGGAAACTGCTGTTGCAGTACAAAATGGTAGGGAAAATAATAAAAGAGAATTCATTTAATTGAATTTACTCATTTTCTGCAGGTAAAAACCATGCCAGATTGCATTTGCCTGGAATCGAAACAATTAATCGAAGTGCTAATCAATCGTCGTACTGAAACATACGCTCATTGCCTGGCCGTCATCCATCTGCACATTTTTAATGATCGCACCAATTTGAAGTGTGTGCCCGAAGCTCTGGCCTCCCATTTGCAGCTCGTCGAAGAACACGTCAGTGCGAAGGATGCTTGGCTTTTGAGATTGTATGTTTTCAGTACCTCACTGCAGCTTCTATTGGATAGGCTGAATGTAAACCGTACAGAACCAGTGGCAACCAAGCAACAGAATTGTCTATTGTCGCTGCGTCATTTGATAGAGCTGGTGGCACCACTGCGTCTTGAGAAGCATCATTTTCTGCATATGTACGTATCCATTAATACAATGATTAACACTCTTATATTAATTTATAGTATTTGTCGGCACAGCGCTCGACTGCTAAATAGACTGTCGGCAAACGCTTTTACCACTGCCGAATCGCTTGAACTCGACAAGTTTATAACGCAGATTAGCGCACACAAATACCGTTGCGAGGATGATGAGGATGGGGTGGTATCCAACAATGGGGTGCGTGCGATCCGATTAAAGCCTCAGCCACCGGGTCCTTTGGCGTTCTGGCAAACGAATGTGTTTAGTATTCTATAACGAAATTGAAGTACCACTACAGGAACTCGATGTTTAATTGACTTGTAATTGATAAAATGAAATTCCATTTGTGTTAACATATTATTATGCGATCTGATTTTGTGGATTATTCAGTTCGTTTTTATTAAGTTTTCTTGCTATTCTATATTCATCAATATTGTAAGATTTCAGCTGTCACATTTATAAATGAAGTAACGACATTGTTTTCTAATAAGCTATTCGTATGTAACCAATTTGAATATTTTGAGAAAGAACATAAAATTTATATAATTTGCTTTCTCTACTTTCATTGAGATGCGGAAGAGAATGTCTACAAATACTATAGCTAACGCAGCGGATCAGCTTGCAAATGATGTGGATCTTGCAGTGATGCAGTGCGATGAGGAACGTCTGGAGCGTAAGTCTTTGGTGCTATGGCGGCGTCCATTGATGACCTTAAAATATGGCATCCTGGAGGTGTTTATGCTGTTGCTTAACCTTGGCGTGCGTCTGCTGGATCGACGACTTATGATCTGTCTGCTGATTTTGGTATTTATCCATTATTTGCCGGGGCCGCATGTGGAATACATGCAGATTTGTCGTCAGAATCTGGGCTTCATCTTCTACTGGCTGGGCTTGGGTCTGCTATCTTCGATGGGCTTTGGCACTGGGTTGCATACTTTTCTGCTTTATCTGGGACCGCACATTGCTGCTGTCACATTGGCTGCCTATGAATGCCAATCACTGGACTTTCCGACGCCGCCCTATCCGGAGCTAAAGATTTGCCCCCAAGAACCCTATGTAAGAAAAATGCCAAATATGTGTGACATCTTGTCCAAAGTACGAATCGAAGCTACGCTGTGGGGCGTGGGCACCGCTCTGGGTGAGTTGCCGCCATATTTTATGGCCCGGGCAGCTCGTCTCTCTGGTAAAAGATTGGCTGAGAGGCAGCAAGTAAGTCAGCCGCAAAATCGCAGCGACCCACTGAATCTATTTGATAAATGTAAAGATCTGATTGAGCGTGTGGTTCTCCGTGTCGGTTTCGTGGGTATCCTCTTGTGCGCCAGCGTTCCAAATCCACTCTTCGATCTGGCCGGCGTTGCTTGTGGCCATTTCCTGGTGCCATTCTGGAAGTTTTTTGTTGCCACTCTAATGGGCAAGGCGATTGTCAAGACCAGCCTACAGCAAGTGCTCGTCATTGTTGCCTTCAGTGAGGATTTGGTTGCCTTCTTGGTGAAATCACTGGGTAAAGTGCCTTTAGTCGGCTCACGAATGCAGTCGCCCATTGAAAATCTGTTGACTTCGACCAAGCTGCGCATGCATCACAAAACTAATGGTAATGCATCATTCACCAGCCTCGGCCTGGTGTCGAACGCTTTTCAAATCCTCTCCATCGTCATAATGATCTACTTTGGAATCTCCATGCTAAATGTCTTAGCCCAAAGGCATTGCAAGCGCTTGCAGCTGCAGGCAAGAGATCAAATAGTTCGGGAAACTGTGCAAGAAAATTCAGAATCAACAGAGAGTGAAGTCTTGAACGGATTAAAAGAAATGGTGGAATGTCAACAGGAAACTAAGGTCTAAGGATAAGAATACCACTGACTGTTGCTCATTATGAAAGGCATCGATTGAGAGGAGAGATGATTAATCAGTTGCGAGGGCTATAAATAAATGAAAAACATTTAAATTAAATTTCTTGTATTCTTTATTTTATTATAATTAGTTTTGTTGTTGTTTCTCTTGTTGTTCTTGGTTGTTAATTGTGTATGTATTGTATTTCAATGCCAATCATATTTAGTTATCCATTGTGTACATTTTACATTCAACAGCAAATTTAACACAAAAGCTAAGCATATACTTAACGCATTATCGAATTGGGGCCAATTTTACACATACATATGCATATATATATATATACATATATATATATGGTATAAGCATTTGAATCGCTTATTATGACTTATACAAAATGACTACAAATTTTGGTTTGTGATTTTCGATTTCAACTAATTACCCACTGTATGTATGAGTATACTATGTATATGATGACTAATGATATCCAACTCTCTGCAGTTCCGTTTCGCTTAATTAGAGTGGGGTTTGCGAGTAAAAAATCCATACTTACACACACACCAGTAAATACATATTTGCATTGTTTGCACACACACTCGCCTACGCCTACAACTTCTACAACTAAATTTCGTCTAACATTTGCACTACAATTGATGCATTAGCATGGCCGCCTGCCTTCATTAGTAAGTACATACTACTCGTTTATACCCTACCATGTTCCACTTTATTCTCTCGGGTGTGTGTTGGTTGGTTAGTAATCGGTTTCGGTAATCGAACTTGTCGCTTGGTTCGGCATTCCTTTATATTCTTTAACAAAAAATGTAACCAATTTAATAAAAATGCATACCATAGATATAATATACGAGCTCTTATGTTTAGATATATGTATATGCACATGATGGATGATTATGTTCGATTATGTGTGGTGTACAGCAACAGTACAGTTACAATTTATAGTGTAGACTTCTTTATTCCAATTGAATTAAAATCATTTTGGGAGAAATGCAATTTCTCAAACGAATAACAGTCGTACTTTCCCTTTTGATAGGTGTTCAAGATGACTTTAGTACTTTATGGGAGTGTTTTTATTATAGAGTTGTTTTTAATATCTAAGTACATACATACATATACAAACATACGTAGAGTTTAACTATTTGCGGCAAAGTCTTTTCGTTAGAGAGATAGAGACAGAGACAGAGATATCGAATGGGAACGAGAGAGTTTCGAAAATATATATTTAACATATTTGAACATTTACAAATTGGAAACGAAAAGCTCACACATAATACATTTACGTTATTGACAAACATTTTGGGATTGTTATGATCTCATCTTTCAGGATACTCGCATTTAAATTGCTTCAATTATTTAACCCATCTGTCCCTGGAACGATTGTTAAGTATCGCTCAATTTTCGCTAATTGGATTAAATTGTATTTGTATATTTTAGCTACATTCATATACGACACGACACGATCGTTTACAGATATCTCAATCCATTTAAGTAATGGGTAGTTTTACAATTTTTGCCAACCAGCATAATTTTTTAGTATTTAATATTCCTGTATTGCACAAATTATTTTCTGCATATATAAAACAATTTTATGAATAATTTTTTTTAATTATCGTTTTTTCAAGAATTTAGATTAATTTCTTGTTACTTTAAGTATTTGTTGCTCTTTAAGTTATGAATCAATTGTTTTTGGTTTCTTTTCTAAAATTTGACGCCTAATACAATTTAATTTATTTGTTTTTTTTTATAATTTTGGTTAAAATTCATTTTACCATATCATCTTCCTATAATTTACGATAAATATTTGTATGGATTTGATTTTATATTTTATATTATTATAGAAAAGCTTTCGAAAGTAAAACAAACCGAATTAAGTTTTTTCAGTAAGAAAATTCTATTATAATGATTGAAAACGGAAAATAGAAAATGCTTAAAACTTTTTGAAAGAAGACAATTTCATTAAATTCATATATTTTATATGATTTGCTTATAAAATCTTCTAATTTTGGAACATATGTGTATTCATTATTTATTGCAGCTAGTTTTTATATTTTTACAAACGCCTAGACATGTTGATTATTATTACTTTTCTCTGTGTATGTAGGTACATTTATTGTTAAAATAATCGAACTTAAATTAATATTAAATGCTTTATTTCTGTTTCAGTTGTTAAATAAAAAGGATATACTGTCCTATTCGGAAGTATTTTGAAAGACGAATCGTAAGCAGTGGCTTTTCATCATTATTATAATTATCATTCAACATTAATATGTACTTTTAAAAAATGTTAACGGCGGGAAGTACTACAATCGTTTTGAAGCATTTTATTTCAATATGTTGTTAAATTAGTTTGCGTTTATTTTAATGGTTTATTTTTAGTTTTGTTATTTTTTTAGTTAATATAATCGTATTTGTTCGATTTGTAGCAAAATGTTTATTCCATTTAATGTTCTTGCTTGATTGTAGAAAAATGTACGCAGATAATGTTCCAGTATTTTGACTTCAAAATTTTTTAGTGTCATTAAATTTGTTCATCAAAAAGAGCAAAATTGTGTTTATTTTTGTATTGTCCTTTAATGTCTCAGAAATTTGTCATTAAGCAATGGTTGTGGTTTCACATTTCAATGAGTTATGAAAGTCCCTTCATGTTAAAAACTGTCTTGTTGGATTCTGTTGTATTCCCCATATGCATTGTTCTTGAGTGCTCTTTATCCACGCTTTGTAAAATGACAATGAAGTGTGAGAATGCAATCTTCGAAGTTGTATGGTTTGTTTCCTCTTTTTGTATTATTATTTTTTACGTTCGTTTCAATATTGTCTACTACTTATGTACATCCCTTGTTTATGTTGTTCTTGTGTTCGTATTATAATATATTTGTATTTCGGCATATCTTCCTTACTTTTTTAAACAATATTACCTTTATTTATGTATGTGTATACTTTTATATGTTGGAAGCTATATGCTAATGACAGTGAATCGTTTATCGTTAATCGCTTATCGTTTTCATGTTGAGCTTTAATACTTTTAACGGTTTCTGTTACTCTTCCAAAAATGTTATTAAATGCCATCGATTGTTTGTTACATTTTCTGATGCTTACTCACGGTTCGGTTAGAATAATCACAAAACAAATTGAATACTAATTGAAAGAAATACTAACAATTATATTACATAACTGTAATTAAGGAATTGCAAGGACTTTTTTTTTTTGAAGCTGAAGGCTCTCTTATCGTGCTAGACTATATATACTAAAATATTTTTCTTTATTTCTATTGGATGCCACTGCCCATGGTTGGTTTGTATCGGTATAACGGTATCGGTTTCAGTATCGGGTTTAGCTATTTGTGTTTTAATTATAAATTAATTTAAATTAATTATATATATATATATATATATAAATATATATATTTAAACTATATACAATTGCATTGGATATCCGACAAAATTATGCAATTTACGGCACAATTTTGACCAATGCTTTCGAGATTCTGCCTGGGTACGAGTAGATCTCTTATAAATACACCCTGCGCGGTGATGTCCACATATTATTTTGTTGTTAAATATAGTCAAACAGTCCTGCAAAAAAATAAATGCAATTTAGTTAAATAGATTAATAATAAGAAACTATTAATAATGTTGCAGTAGAAAGAACTTGGCTAGATGGTACCCTGAACTTAGACCTACAGAGAATTCAACCTCTCTGGGTTCATTTTTGGGAAAACTCATAGTTAAGAGTAGACACGAAAGGTAAGAGATAAAGAAAATCGTTATGCATAGGATAAATTGCAAAACTTACTTCATTTAATGCTCTGCAAATATCCGTGAAATCACTTAGTTAAGTGCAGATTATTGTGCTCAAGTCAATTAATTTGTTGGTTTTATTTTTGTCTTTCACTGTGAACCACTGAACCGGAACCAGTTGGCCAATTGGCTCTTAAACGAACCACTCGTCCTTCTGAGCAGCGCCGACAGCAGAGTTGGCATTCGGATGATTGCCAGCAACGGCGATGTTCGTCTGGCTGAGTCCGGTTGTGTTTTGTGAAAGATCTTGACCTAATTGACGAAATTTGCCAAGCACCAAATGGGACGGACTTTGGTGGCCATCTTCAAGTAATTGTGTGGAATGCGGTGGTACCCGGATGGTCCCGCAGGGTGATGCCAGTTTCCCGACGCCGGCGGCAATTGTGTGTGCTCTCGCGTCAGCGTGCCGCCAACGCCAATGCCCATGCCGACGCCATGGTAATGCAGATGCTTCGACGATCCGTTCGTCTCGGCATTGTGATGTACTGCGGATGTGACAATTATTACCAATAGAGTGAGCAATGGAGAACTAGGAGTAACTTACGCTGCATTGCGGTGTTCTGATTGGCGGCATTCTCATCCTGTCGCCGGCACACACAGATTGCAATGGCCACAATGAGGGCGCTTAGCACCAGCAGCACTCCGACCACAATCAACACGAACCAGGTCATGTCCACGCCAAACACAGTGCTCGTCGTCTCATCTGCAAAGTGAAGTTGATTTTAATAATAAGTGTCCTTTTCACAGATTAGCTGCTTACTTACTCTGACATAGATTCTGAACGGACTCATCGGAGTTGTCGCCACAGTGGTTGACGCCGTCGCACAGTAAATCGGGATTGATGCAAAATTCGCGTGTGGCGCACGTGAAGTCTTTGCATGTGTGCTCTGCAAGGGATACGCACAAATATCAGCGGTTATCCAGTCTAATCAACTAGTTATTCACTTGTCTACTTACTTGGATCCTTCACCGATGTTATCACCAACTTAAAACCATTCGCATCTGTCCCCCATCCATCGGTGACGTACTTCAGGGTCACGAAATTCGTTCGCGTCAATATCGCATTCACAGTGTTCTTCGTGTTGCGACAGGAGATGTCAATCTGCAAATGAAATGGAAGTTGAGAGTCAATCGTGTTTTCAAAACTAAATTTAGTATTATTCCATTATTATCAAAAAGCGCTGAATGTTGAAAATCTGATCTATTATGACAGAGTTATGGCTGTTGGAAGTTTGGACCCATCCCTAAAAACACTTCTTGAGGGTAAAATATTAACATGATTTTCGATTCGTAAACCCGTTCCCAACTTTAAATGTAGCATTATTCTAGAGGTCAAATCAAGATCAAAAAGACTTGGTTTCTGAAAATCTGTGAAAAGTTTGGAATCGTTTTGGTTTTCGCTTTTCACATGTACTCATTATTTTGTTGGACCACGCCCATTTAGCTGCAGTTTACCACTCGTGCAGCTAAATTTGAAGAATGCAAGTGTAGCTTGTTAGCGGCAGCTTTCAAAGGACGGAAGGCATCTCTTGTGCGTGATGTTCCATCAATGCCATGGAAACTGACAACCATCTAACCGCCTGGGGTTGGTAGCAGATGCCAGGAGCTCAGCAACCATCTTGCCCCAAACCGCTTTGCGTGCTGCAAATACTGGCATTTATATATGTGTACATGAATACATACACATTTGTGCATATTTACATGGCCAGTTTTAATGCCATTAAGTTGTGCCAAGTTTATAGTTTAAATTGGCATTATATGAAATTAAATAACCGCATGAAAGTGCAACAATCACAAAGGCATTTGTAAGGAAAACAAATTTTAAATCTTCTCCAAGCGCAAAATCTCTATTAGAATATGCCATGATGCTTTAGCTAATGCCAACAATTTAGTTTCTGCTTCACTTGCAATTCCAAAGGTTTTTCTATAAATTTTACTTCAAAGAAAGCCACTGTTGCTGCCCCATTTTTATCATCAGCAGCAGCATCATTATCATCATCATTATTAGCCAAAGTGCACAAAGTGGACGATGAAGTCTTCGTCGATTGCCACGTGCAACGTGGCATGTCATGCACCGGCCGTCTGTATAAATTTGCAGTGTTGCCTGCAACCTAAGATTTACACCAGGGTTCATCAAAGTCCACGTTGCACACACCCACAAACACACACCCCCACACACAGGGATTTGTATGCGTGTCATCGTTGAGGCCTTTGCTGCGGTTGTCTTTCTTGACACAAGGTCTCGTGCCTGTTTCCTGGCTGTGTCAGTAGCAGCGTCTCTCTCTCTCTCTGTGTGGCAGCAGCTGCAGTTGGTCGGCATCTTCGACATGCGGCGCTTTGTGGCATATTTTAATTTTGTTGCCGGCCCCCAAAAAACGGAAACTTTCCATCACATTTTGGCAATACCCTCTTGCCCCGCTGCTTTGTATGCAACATAAACGCACCCACACCATCTCCTCCACTCACATCCGCACAGAGTGTGGTAAAATTTTAATTTGACATTTCTGAAGGCAGTGACAACTTCTTTTGTCCCAAAGTATTTACATGCTGAGACACTCGACACTCTGGCTCTCTCTCAACGCTCACGTAGTACTTGCAAAATGTTATTGGTTTTTCTGGTTGTGGTTCGCTTTGCTGCGGCCGGTAGAATGCAAATGAGCCCCAGACTTGTAATAAGTCGCATGGAAATTCATATAAATCTTGCCGCATCGCTCATACGCCGCATTGTACCATGATACTTTTTGAACTGGAAGTAGGAGAAGGGCAAAGAGCGATGGCATACAAAGCTTCTTATGCCACATGCAAACCGACTCTGATTTTGAAACAAGCAGAGTCAGGTGTGGAGAGTGGAGGGTTGTGCGGTGTGGCAGTGTGGCTATTTGATTCAACGCATCTGTAGTTGTAGTAAGTCTGTTGCAAAACAAGCCACTTGGCAAATATTTAAGCAAAAGCTATGAGAGGCATCGACAAAATAAAAAAAGAAACAATGAGCCAGAAACAGAAAGAGTGGAGAAGTCCTTTTGTTGAACCGCAATAAGAAGAAAATAATCGGCTTTCAACTATGTGAAGTCCTTGCTTTTGAATTATTATTTTTTAAACATATTTGGTTTGTTATTAGTTGAAAAATACAAAAATGAGATTAATCTTATATAAAGTTCAGATAAAACATCTAAGTATGTATAAATCATATTTTAATCAATATATGTTAATGTGTGACAGGTATTGTTTGTATCTGTATCGCTGAGTGATTTACTGCGGACATTTACAGTGAATAATAACCCAAAATTAAATGTATCTTTTAAGTTATGAAAGCACAAAGCATATTTTGTTCCCTTCGCTTAAGTCGATTATCAAAAGCTGACTTTTCATGGCAACGTGAGTTTTTTATACCCGGTTTCAGGGTAAAAATCGTTACCTTTATTGGTACTTTATTTTAACTGTTTGTTCTGGACTTGGCTTTCCATAATAAGAAGCTAAAACCTACCATCGATTTTATCATAAGCTTTGACTTGTTAATTAGTTGTGGTACACTCAGTGTGGTTACCACACTGAAGCTGTATAAAAGAGAGAGAGAGGGAGAAAGAGAGAGATAGATAGAGAGAGAGAGAAAGACGTCACTTTATATCCCATACGAAATTATGAAGAAACATAAATATACATACTGCATAATATTTTAAAGAGCACATTTCTGCAAACATTACTCAAATATGCTTAAGTCTTTGTTGTAGGGCAGTTTTTAATCTTTCACTCTCCTGTCTTGTTGGGGTTCACAGGGGCTTCACTGGGATTTTAAGAATTTAGCTTATGCGTATGCGCTGCATTCTGGCCACTTGCCTTGGCATACATTTGCTGACACACACACACGCTGAGACACACATACTGCCATAAAATATAATATAAATGCAGTCAGGCAGTAAGGCGTTTGAGAAATGAGAATGGTTACTGATAAAATCAGAGTGCTATCAGCAAACTCAGCCGGCAGTTGGCAGTTGCCAGTTGGCGCCGCATTGCAACCGCAGTGGTGTAATCCACCCACCCACCCACCAACCCACCCACACAACCAACCAACAAACCAACCGACCGACTGACATTCTTACCCGTTGTCATCATTGCAAATGTTGCAGCGGGTAAAATTATGCCTACATTTTTTCTGAGTCTCCATACATATATGCTTATATGCATATATAGTTATTCATACATGTATGTAGATGTGTGCGGGTGTGGAAAGGAAACCCCTCAGGGATTGAACCTAAAATGTCAGTGGCACCAACGTGCTCCGATTGTGCATGTGGATCATTGGGCTGCGACACAAATTGCAATGGTTTTACTGCCATTTTTGGCTTTGACGGCTTCCCGCAGTGATTGCCACTACAATTACTCGCATCGTGTGGAATACTTTGATAACACAGTAACAAAGTTAATTAATGATGACAGTAAATATACAAAATACTAATTCAAGAGAAAACAAGAGAAATATAAAAAAATTCCAATCGGAAAGGGAATTTGAAAGTTACAAGCAATCTAGAATATTTTCTATTAATTTGAAATGCTTAAAATAGGTTAATGAAAACCAAAAAAAAAGTAAAAACAAACTTTAAATGACAAAAATTTATTCGCTAGAATACTTGCTCGTTATAGGTACTAACCTTGGGCGTCGATACGGCATGGGCTCCATCATAGACCAGCAGATGATCATTGCAGTCCAGTTGGAGCATGTCGAAGCGCAGCATGAAGCGCTGCAGAATCGAATGGGTCTGGAAGGTGATGACACAGTCCAAGTTGCGTTCATTCTGAGACCACAAGACGGCGCCATCGATTTTGCGATAGAGCTGCTGCAGAAAGTGATTCTTGCACAGCGATTGCATGTAGTCTGCAAAAAAGAGTGCCGATTACAGATTAAGAACTATCAAAATGAATGAAAGTTTATCGCTGTTAAAAATAATGCTTAATAATTGTATAATTTGGTCATATGCTTGCTATGCACGTTATTAAAGGCAACCAGCGAGCCGGACGCCACGTGCTGCTCCATCTGGAACTTCTACACTTCCTTAAACTTAATGGTTGTGATTTCCACAGCGGTGGTCGCCAGCCCGCTGGCAAACAGGCAGTCTCTCGTGCGTTGCGCCGGAAAATGTGCACTTAAATTTTAATGGAAGAATGAAAAATTCATTTACGCTTCGTTTCACGTATTGCTGGCACATGTTTCCATGCATTTACTTAACTTAAGTACGGACCCCATTGCTTCTGTTATAATGTATGTGCTTGTGTAAAAAGTATGTGAAGTTTTTCTTTTCAAAAATGCAGAGACTGCCAGGCAATCACTTATTCGATCTTACAATCGCCATTTCATTAGTTTTAATATGCAATAGTTTGCGGTGTGTGATTAAATCTCATTAAATAATATTTCGCTTAATATCTCTCTTAAGAAAAGTTCAAAGATTAAGAATGCAATGGGTTAGTTTTAATAAGGAATAGTTTGCGGTGTCATATAATAAAATCTTTTATTTCGATTTCGTTTAATATCGTTGTGAAGAACAGTTAAAAGAGTAAGAATGAATTGTAAATAAGCATTGAGAGAGTTGCAACTAAAACTCTCTCAAGAAGTAATTTTTAACATTTTAAACGAACAGCGAGCATAAAAAGTGCACTGTTTAAATGACTTTCAATTAGTTTTAATAATCAAAACTATTGCACTTAGTGCGAAATCCATTAACGTGAAATGAACGCCATTATGGACGATGTCCATTGGCGTTGCATGCAAATGAAGTCGAGGAACACGACTGGAAATTATCGCATAAGGGCCAAAACCGTGCAGAGACCAACTGGCGATATTCGAGATTTTAATGAAACACATACACATACACAATTACACGCACACCCACACCGTGTAGTGTGTGCGGTTGGTTGGGTGGAGCACGGGGGAAGGGACGTGACGGGCTTACGTGCGCCTGATTTCAGGCAATTTCCTGCTTAGCAACCGCTTCCGCTTTCGCCGTCGCACTAATTCAATTTCGCTTCAATAAAGGGCACACGAAGGAGCCGCGCGGCGAACGTGGAACGGCGAAAGGCGAAAGAGCAGCTGAAAAGATGTCGACGCAGCAGGACAATTCAAAATTAAAGGATGGGGCTGGGCTAGTAGGGGCTTGTAGACAAAGAATTTAGTGCAAATTCGTTTTACGCTTTCACAACACACAAACTCAAACGAGCACGCGTGTAAGTTAGAGAGTTGGACAGAGGGAGTCTGAGAGAGCGAGTGTGTGTGTCAGAGAGAGAGAGAGAGAGTATGAGAGAGGGAGAGCGCAGCTCGTATGGCGTTGTAGCACGTTTGGCAAATGCTTCATTTGCAGGCACAAATGTTGGCGTTGCCAACTTCAAAATTGAATTCACAATTGAATTGAATTGCCGGCAAACGGCAGCGGCCTTTTGTTTTAGTCCGTTACTGACTCTCCCTCTCCCTCTTTCTCTCTCTCTCTCTTTCTCTCTCTCTTTCTCAAACACACACACACACACACACACACAGTAATATAACAGCTACCGTCCAGAGCGGCTCTCCCTTGCACACATAGACGATTTGGCGTGTTTTATATATATAAGGCAATTTTGTTACACATTTCGCTTTGATCTTCGCTGGCAGGTAAGCTGCTAACTGGGCGGGGTTCAAGTGGGCGGATGCACAAATTTGCCGGCAAGGCATTTGCCAAATAATTCACGATTGCCCCCAAACCAAATGAAACTTTTCGCTGCGGTTCGTTGGCTCTTTATATACCTGTCCGCCACACCCCCGCCTCCCACACACACACACACACACACACACATAGACACGTCGGTTACACTGCTAACCCAAGATTGATTACTGTTTCAGTTGTTGGCCGAGTTGATGATGTGCATGAAAGTTTCTTCTTCTTGTTTTCTTATTCTATAATAATACTGAATAATGTAACACAGAGTCTATGTATAGATGAGTCTGTGTGTGTGTGTGTGTGTGTGTGCATGCATTATCCAATAAACTAAGTTAAATATAAATTTGTAACAGTGTAAAGATAGGTTCGATTTGCGTGCCAAGGCTTTTACTTTTAGTTAGCACTGTCAAATGCAATACACATTGACGGCGACAAATGTGCAGCAAAAAGGGTAAGTGAGGGGGCAGTGGGTGGAAATAAGCTCAACAGAGAGACACTGAGAAATAGAATTTCTGCACAATTTGACACAGGATACGAGTGGGAAGGAGTCTGGGGTCTGGGGTCTGGAGTCTGGGGTCTGGGGTCTGGGGTCTGGAGTCTGGGGTCTGGGGTCTGGAGTCCGGGGTCTGGCGTCTGCGTTCTGGAATTTGTTGCCAGCGGAGACAACTGTAAAATATCAATTACGGATAGAAAGTAAAGTGCTCTTATGTACATATTACCATGCAACATCCAACAGACAGCTGGAGCGAAATCCTTCAATCATTTCTAGGCAAACTTCACTCGAGTGCACTGCAGTGTAAAATGTTGGGAGGACATTTGCACACATCGGCATACATAAATGTATATATATATGTGTGTATATATATACATACATCTACATAATATCGGGATTACTCATATATTGCACAGCAGCTGTGGCACAGTCGCAGTCGCTGACATTGGGGATTTCAGGATGTGTGTACAAACACGATGGCCCTCCGTTGGGAAGTAAGAAACGAGCTCGTTTGACAACTGAAGCCGGCAAACTGATGCTAAGGATAAGCAGTGTCAGATATATTTTCCTATAAATTGCGGTAAAAAAAAAACAATTTCCTTTGGAGCTCATGAAACTGCAGCCAGTAAACGGCAATGCTTTGCCTTAGCAATCATAGCTGGGAAAAAGGAGATTTTATTTTTGGCCTAATGTATTTGTGGCCTGTGCATAAAAGGTGAGTAAAGCAGTTGCTAAAACAATCTCAAGACTTTGTATAGCTAGATAATACCCTGTAATCAGCTGAGAATACTACTCGACTGCTAAATGTTGGCCAGGCTCAAGTTTTACGATGCTTGTGGCAGGCTTACAAAATCCAGGAGTTCGCTGTGCTTGTTGGTCACTCTAAATGGCCTCAGCTGAGCCAACTAAATGGGCTACAAATCCAAGGACAAATTATGGCTCAGGGTCTTAGTTGCCCAAAATTCCTCTCCGCCAGCCCATCTTAACCAAAAAGCCACCCACACACATAAAGCAGCAAGATTTTCATTTCTTGTTTGGTTTTTATTTCCGCTTATTGTCGTTGTTGTTGTTGGTGTCGTATTAAGTGCTCAGTTTGCAGAAAACGAGTTCATGGTTTGGCTGGAGGTTTGTCGGTTTCGGTTAATGGCCAGATTAGTTAGTCGAAATGTCATTTGTTAGCATGAAAAAGCACTGCCAAAAAGGATTAATATTAGCATAATTAATTTCAAGGCCTTACGGTCCTCAGAATGTTTTATGTTCATGTTATTAATCGAAAGTGCTTCAAATTGTGCCACACAGATTTCGAGGTTCAATAGAAATATGCTCTTAGTTTTGTGAGTTTATTTAATTAATGAAAGAATCAGACGTTTGAATTGTTCTTCCTTTAAAGCAATGACATTGAAATATTGTGAGAATTAATCGAAGTAATAGTGAATAGCGAAGTTACGCATACTATATAAGAAATTGCAGAACCAAAATCGATATTCTTTGCTAAAAAATAAGCTGGAGAAGTAACAAAGTCATTTGACACATGAAATTGCATTTTGCAGGCGCTTACAGGACATTTCACGCAGAGATCTTTGGATACGTTGGTAGCCGACTTTTTTTGCCTGGCAAACGCAAACAACTCGAGTTGAGGACATGCCCAAATTGTGTGTCATCTAAACTACGGCGAGGCACTCAACAAAAAGGGAGCAACCGCATCATATTGCACAGAAGACCGCAGAAGTAATAAAGAGCCAAAGGATTCTGTGCAGCAAGAAACCGCGAGGATGTCCACAGATAGACTGATGATGGATCCATTTGCGAGGCAGAAAGAGAGAGAAAGAGAGAGATAGAAAGCTTAATGTTTCCGGGCAAGGATACCGATGCGCTGGCGGAAGTATTTGCTCCTCTTTAATGCGTTTACTCAAACTCAAATGACAATGATGCTGGCAGGCAACAGACAACCTCCTCTCCAGCTGCAATCCCCGCAGCCCCTACTCACTCAAAGAGATGCGTTGGGAACATTGCCTGCTGCTTCTGCTGCTGCTGCTGCTGCTTGCATTATAGACACACAACACATCGGCGTTGATTTTCCTCCCAACCAACAGCTCTGAAAGCAGAATTGGCAAAAGGAATTCAAATCCCTCCACTGCCCATACTCCTCCACACTCGATTACTCATTGCATATATGCGCGAACTTCTTGCTGCCAGTTTGAGTAGTGGAATATTATATTTACCTTGGCCCAAACGTTCTAACGTCTAATATATATATATATACATATAGAGAGAGCTAAGAGTCTACGTTGCAAACATATTTTTACGTCTTTATCTAATTCCCAACTAAGGACACGAATACATTTGCATCTCCCTCCCCATAGTTGGATGTCGATGTTTTGAGATGGGCGGACAGTTGCTGTGGGCACCTCAACGGCGCATTACTCAGCATTTGCGATTCCCGTCCTGTTTGTTTCTGGGACTCGCTAAATGTCTATCTGCCTGACATTTGGCTGAGTAGGGGCACTATAAACTACGTCTGGATTATGTTGGTCTGTCAAATATGCAATGCACTTTACAAATGCGCCTTAAATGTACTATAAGCTAAGTCTTACTGCTGACCAATCACTTTATTTGTATTTTTTTGCATCGAGAGAGTTTAAAGCCAGCACTTGGAGAAAAACTAGTATATCTGAGCAAGGAGAACGATTTTTATTT